AATTACATGGGCAAGATAATGAGTACATTTCTTATCAAGCATTGTTGCCTCCTCCTTTGTTTCCCCTTCCCATCCCTTCCCATCCTCCCCCCCCACATTCCCTCCCCCCCCTACTGGGCCAAATTGTAAGGTTCATTTTTCAACATAACGTCTTGTACATCTCATTGTTGCAATGGGTCCTCCAAGGACCGAAATCTTTACATTTTTTTCTTTCCAATGGTAGAAGAGATTCCAAACTCTTAGACTTAGGAAAATGAACTCTGAAGCTTCATTTAAAAGGACCTTCTATACTATTCATAACAGTGAATTTTTTTAAAATTTCAATTAATACTTTATGATGAACTGGTTTTGCTTGCAAAAGATGTTAACTGGATGAATTAAATAAAAAAGGAAGAATTAAATCAATTAGGAATAAAAAGGGCAAGAAAAATCATAAAAGTTAGAGAGATACAGTGCAAAGGTCAAAGTGGTCTGAACTCAGTAGCTGAAGAAAATGAATTATTAATTCAGTTCTAACAATAGATGAATCCTTCAAAATTTGATACTATAGCTAGGTAGGAAATACTCAATTACTGAAACCAAACCTATTATTTTAACTTATTTTTTAAAAGTCTTTAAAAGAGTATGTACTTGAGCTCTTTTGCGCACTTGATAAAAAATTTAATGTTCAATATCTGCACTCACAAATTTTAAAATACCTTATTTATGTGCTTACAAATGGATAATATACTGTTTTCTCAAAAGCTCAGTTAATGATTTACAGTGAACTAATTATACTTGTAAAAATGTTAGTTGGATGAACTGGATGTACTCATATAATTATCTTGAAATTTCATTAATTCAATTTCATTCAAGAATATTCTATCATACCTGTGTACAGTGAAAGTTTATAAGCGTTTCATGACCATTTCTCCCAAGTGCAGTTGGACGAAAAATTACAGGTAATTCTAAGGTGGAATGTGGACATATAATCAGCTGCGTAAATTCAGAAAACAAAAGAAACAAAAATTAATACATTATTTAAGGTGATGTGTTTGTGTACTAGTTCTATATAGGGATGATGTTTTAATGATGGAAATATATGCATACATGTATATATATATATATATATATATATCCTTGAATACATCTGTCTCAGCATGTCTTTTTGCAAACAGTGACAAAAGGGTTTACAGTAAACACATTTAATGGCTCTCCCTATGTACTGCCTGAAGGACCGTGTGGAATTATGTAAATAGATCAAGACTATTTTTAATGGATGAGTTAGTTCCCCTAATCATAGAAATGTCCATTTGAGAAATTTTCCTTTGTTCTTTTATACAATCTCCAAGATATGGCCTGGTGGTTGGTATAGCAGTTTTATTTATCTCTTTAGATAACCTACTAGTTTAGTGTTGTGAGATATGTTTAATATGCTAAGTGTAAGTTCATTTTCAAACTTAAAGCAATCCAAATTATGAGTCTTCCCACATATAAGCATGTGTTGAGTCCTGATTCAAATGGGAGAGTAATCTTGAGATCACTGAGTAAACTTGAATTCTCATGGACACAAGATAATATATTGTCTTTAATATACAATATGAAGTATTCAGGTGGAAATCAAACAAGGGATATAATTTAGTTTTAAATTGCACAATAAGGATGTAGCAAATAATTTGTGAGCCAAGATGAAATGTTGTTCATTAAATTATTTTTCAATTCTGTATCTTGCTTGAAGATGGTGACAGGATGTAGTTCATATGAAGTATGTTTTTGCATAACTCTTTGTCTTCATAATCATCAGTCAGTGTATATTTAATAAGTATTCATAAATAATATTTTTAAATGCTTACACACGTGGACACACATACTATGCAATGAAAGTTTATATGAAAGTTTCATATACACATGTTTACATACATAATTGCATACATATATTATTTATATATATTTATACGTTTACATACATAATTACATACATATATATTATTTATATATGTTTGAAATGTATTATGTTATTTTTGAATTGTTATCCATTTGTCAATGGATACTTGTATTTTACGTTATATAAAAATTTTCTGATATGTAACTTTTTGTGTTTTATCCTTACATTAGATTTAATTTTAAATTCAATTCTAAATAATATTTGAAAAGACTTAATAAACTTTCTATGGATAGAAAGTTCATATAATACAGTCAAGAATACAGTCCATATTCTTTGTTATGTAATATAAGGAGGCATGAAGTATTTTGCATTTTTTCCCCTGTGGACTAGAGCATACACTCTGCTCTAAGTATAATTATATAAAAGTATATCTCTGTCATATTTATTTATTTGTTTATTTATTTATTCACTTATCTTTTTCATTTATTTATTTATTTGTGGCAGTCTTGGGGTGCAAACACAGGGCCTGGACAGTCTTCCTTGTGCAAGGCTAGCTAGCACTCCACCATTTGAGACACAATCACTTTTTTGTTTTTGTTTTTAGGGTAGTTTTTATTGGAGATAATAGTGTCATACATTGCTGGCTGGGCTGAATTTGAACCACGATTCTCAGATCTGAGCTTCCTGAATAGCTATGATTACAGGCATGAGCCACCAGCACTTGAACTATATGTCATTTTCTAATGAGCTACAAGTCCTCCAGTTTGTTATTATTTCAGCTTCTATAGCTATAAGAATTTTATCTATAAGTAAGCATGATGTTCATGCTCTGTATTATTTATGGAATATATGGTATTGATACAAGCATATACATGCATTTGATATACTTACTCTTAGATGGCAATTTGATGAGTAATGATTTCTAATTTGACACACTAGTTTAAAAACAATTTGATATATTATTACTCAACAACCAGTGAGTTCTAAGAGACAGATGTAAGATTTAATTATTTCTAAGTGTACATTTGTTAAACAGTAATCAAACAGCACATAGAATGTCTTTATTAAATAAATCTGTTAGTATAGCTCCATGATTTACTGTGAGATTCAATGATGAAAATAAACTATTACAGATATCTCTTCTCTAAGGCAAAGTGTGGTTGTTTTGCCCTAGCTGGGCTTAAACTGTTGGACTCAGTTCTTTCACCTTTGTCTTTCAAATAGCTGTAATTACAGGTGCATTTCACTGATCTCAGTTTGTAGAGTCATTTTGAAATTTTATTTGAATGAACGAATGTGGTTTCACATTCACTGCAAACAATTGGTGTCTTATACTTTGGAAACATAGATACTCATTAACAAATTGTTTTGTAACTTATTGTTTTTTTAAAAAAAATTTTGGTCCATCATGGGGCTTGAACTGAGGGCCTGAGTTCTTTTTCTCAAGGCTAGTGTTCTACCACTTTGAGCTACAGCTCCACTTCTGTTTTTTGAATGGTTAATTGTTGATAAGAGTCCCATAGGGACTTTTCTGTCCCAGCTGGCTTTGAACCGCAGTACTCAGATCTTAGCCTTCTGAGTAGCTAGGATAGTAGGCATGAGCTACCAGTGCCTGGATGGAAAGAGAGTTATTTAAGCTTGTTGATTTTGGCCCAATTTTTGCCAGTAACCCTGGAATGAGGAACTGGAGCATAGATAAAAATCAGAGCTATTAGGAGCATCTGGAAGTATATGCCGGGCCAGAGCAGCAATTGAGAAAGAGCTAGAGAAGGACTGGTTTTTGGGACTCTGGAAATATACCTATTGACTTAAAATCATATTACTAAGAAACTAGTAAACCACTAAAGTGGTAAGAAAACACAACCATTAGAGCTATGTGCCAGTTAATATAATTTTAGCACACAATTTCAAAAATATATAAACATACTGTTTGAGTGATAGATTCCAATTGAGGAAAACAGAAAATTAGTAAACATATAGAAAATTATAATACAATCTTAAGAATGTGAAACTTTATTACTAACTCAAATGATAATAATTCATTAGCATCCTAAAATAAGAATTAGAAAATGCTCTAGGAGAATGGGCTTTCATGACTTTTTGAATGTACTTACTGGTTGTTCTATGTCATTATCCAGGATGAAATTTGTAGGATTACTATTGTCTATGTGTAATTCTAAAGTTTCATGGGTAGGATTAGATAAGGAAAGGGTATATAGAAATTCCCTACGAAAAAGAAGACAAAAGTAGTAAATTTTCTTGCATTTATAAACTTGTTAAACAAAAATTCCATAAACGTCACAATTACAAGTCAAACAGTCCCTTTCCCAAAAGATATAGTATCACATAATAATTATACATATTTAAAAAGTATAATAGTGGAGTTTGTATCTGAAATATGAATATAAATTATAATAGTGGAGTCTATATAAGAAACAGGTTTCAAGTCAAAATAAAGTTATGACTGAAATAAGATAAAAATAAAATGATATTCAACTGTTCAATCTCAACACATGAAAACATGTAATAAAATGATTTAACACTAAAAATATGTTGGAGTCCTTTCTTCCAGTGTATCCATTACCTAGAAATGTGATGCTATCTGGCATACACATAGTTAAGATAAAGTGAAGTCATACTGAAGCCTTAATTAATTATTAGTTATTAATTTAATTAATTAATTTAATCATAAACTGAAGTATTAGATTGAAACTCCTTTGTTCAACTACTTAAACATAATTAAAAACATTATTTCAGGCTGGGGATGTGGTTTAGAGGTAGAGTACTTGACCAGCATGCGTGAAGCCCTGGGTTATATTCCTCTGTACCACATAAACAGAAAAAGCCTGAAGTGGCCTGTGGCTCAAGTTGTAGAGTGATAGCCTTGAGCAAAAGAAGATCAGGGACAGTGCTCAGGCCCTGAGTCCAAGCCCCAAGACTGGCAAAAACAAACAAATACATTATATCTAGAATATGCCCATAAATCAACAAGTAAACACACTGGATGTAAAAGAAAAGAAATACACAGGGACTCCATAAATTAATCAGGTCTCTAGATGGTAAAAGAAAAAAAATACACAGGGACTCCATAAATTAATCAGGTCTCTAGGCATTCACACAGTGAGATAAAACTAGGATATTCTTTGGAGAAGATCACACAGGTGCAATAGCTATATGCATATGATCATATAAAACAATATTTATGGAAATGAACTCCAAGAAATAGGAACAACAAGTTCTTTTTCCTTCTTCATTGCTGTTTTTGTTTTCATTTCCTTTGTCTTGATTATTCATTTATCTATCCTTGGGAGGGTAAGTAGGGGGCACAGAAATGGAGGACAAAGGGTGAACAAATGCAACAGTGATACTCAGTAGATACTATGTTGAAAATTAACAACTTGCTGGTGCAGAGGAGGGAAAAATGGGAGAGGGTGAGGAAAGGGGTGACATTGCTCAAAAAGAAATGCACTCTTTATCTGGCTTAAGTAACTGTAACCCCTCTGTACATTACCTTTACAAGAACAAGAAATGAATGAAAAAATCATTATTTGTGTCTTTATCGAAAGACCACCTGAAGACACACAAGCTGATGGCCAAATAACACTGGGAGTAAAGATGAAGTCAAGAAAGGCAAGATTGCTGAACGCTGGTGGTTCAGGACTATAATCCTAGTTACTCAGGAAGCTGAGATCTGAGAATCATGGTTTGAAGCCAGCCCAGGCAGGAAAGTCCATGAGATTCTTATCCAATAAACGACTGAGAAAAAGCCGGAAGTGGCATTGTGGATCAAATAGTTGAGCACTTGCCTTAAGCCAAAGAAGCTCAGGGACAGTGCCCAGCCCGAGTTCAAGCCCCAGTACCAACAAACAAATAAATAAATAATAAGATGAAATAAAGCCAAGGTTTATGTTCAACATCAGAAACTAAAACAGGCAAAGAAGAGCCCTTCTACAAGTTTCAGAAGGAATATGACCCCACTGGCACTTTGGGTTTGGACTTCCAACATCTAGGATTAGATTATATAACAATAAATGTATGCTGTCCTAAGTTACTCAGTTTATGAGATCTGTTAGAACAGTCATAGGAAGCTACTACAATTACTTGTATAAATCTCAAGTTAAGAATAATTACTTAAGAAAGAACATTTTGCTAAATTAAGTAAATCCACATTCTATTTTAGAGACACGATATTATCCTTTCCCCTTTATTTCCATCTCTTTTGAATATATTTCAGTTATAGGAGCAATATTTGCCCATTATTTTATATCTACTACATCCAGCCAAAGAAGCTACAGACTGAGTCTAAAAGCAGTTAACAAAATAAATTCACAGTGTTCATCCATAATATTAGAAAGACCTGAAATAATGATGAGCAAATGCCGCAGATGATGGCTTATATTTATGCTCAGAGCAAACAATAATCAAGGGAGTTCATAATTTTCAATCAAGTATAGTTTTAATGATTTTGATGTACAAAATAGAAATTGTCATCGTTCAGAATCTTCATGTAATGGTGCATGATAATACATTACATTAAACTCATCTATGTACAGTTTTTCTTATTCAGTTCTTTTCTCACTTATATTCCAAAATACTATAGATTTGATATAGTAAAATTGCATAATCATTGTCAAAATATTAATTTTCAAAGTTTAATAAGGAAAGGTTAACAAGACTTTCATTGGAATGAAATAAATTGCAATCATAAAACTGAATGAGGCAACAATGTCACAACTCATGTTTACTAAAAACATTAATAGTTTTCATGTATTAACATAATGTAACACAAGAAAACCATATGTAAAAGGTAATACATTTTTAAATCACTTGTTCTTCTGAAGCATTTTTTTAAAATCAGTTCTCTGCCCCCATCCACTATATCTCCATGCTTACATAAAATAATATTATCAATTTAATAGACTTACTTTCCAAGGTGACATTTTAATTCTGGTATTTTATTTACTTTAGGAAGCAAAGTATGTAATTTTAGCAAAAACCAGAACTCTTCATCATTCTTTTTAGGTTGAAATATAATGCTGGTGGAGAGAAATATTGAAAATTTTGTTAGTATATTTTTTTCTTTATAAAATTGTATTGCTATTATACATTTTTGGTTGAGATTTAAACTCAGGTATTATCCCTTTCTTCTGTTTTTCTTTTTAAATATATATTTTTATTGTAAAGATACTGTACAGAGGGGTTACAGTTACATGAGTAAGTTAATAAGTGAATTTCCTATTAAGCATTGTTATCCCTTCCTTTGTCTTTCCCCTACCATCCTCTTCTTCCCCACCTCCAAGAAAATTTTAAATTAGTAGAAATAATTGGTTTGAAATACAATATTTGATTACTACTTTCCAATACATTAAAATTTTTCACTTTGTTACTCAAGAAAAACAACATTGACAAGATGTAAATAAATGTCAGTTTAATTGATGGGAAATGCCTAAGTGAGAATATTTAAATGTCTTTCAAGATCAATAACAAGCAACTTCCTTTCTAATTCATTAAATTCAAGTTCTGTTTGTTGAATGCATGTGTACTTTCATTTGAAGTCCATCAAGTAGCACATGGTTGTGGAAAGCTTTATAAGCAGCATGTGGTCATCTTTGGGAAGAACAGAGTTTTGACTTAGGCTAAAAGTATAATTCATAATTGGGCCTGTATCTAAGTTTTGTCATCTTTTATAGTATAGCTTCAAACAAATCACATTAACTTTTGGAGATCACTTTCATTATTTATAAATTGGAGGATTCATCCTATTGCTTCTTGATGCTTTGAGAATTGTATGTGTCTATTAGGTAAAATTCAAGTCACAATGACAATGGAGCAAGTAGCCAAAAACTAAGCCAAAATTATCTTTTAATGCATGCCAGCAAAAAAAAAATTAGATCAAGTAAAACTAACAAAATACTATATAGAAACAACTGGGAAATGACATATCCTACACATTTCTAATGGTATGAAATATTTTCTGTGATATGTTTCTTTTCTTCACATTATACTTAATCTTATTATTAACATTTTCAAAAATACACACACAGTAATCTGTTCATTAAAATAAAAGTTATTTAAATATTCCTATGAGATACTGTCCTTGAAGCAGCAATAAATTTATCTTTGAGGATATAATGCTAAATGAAACGAGCCAAAGTCAGAAAAACAAATATCACGTTTTCTCTCATTTAGGGAATCTTACTTTTTTTTTATTGTGAAAATACTGTATAGACGGGTTACAATTACATGGGCAAGATAATGAGTGCATTTCTTATCAAGCATTGTTGCATCCTCCTTTGTTTCCCCTTCCCATCCTTTCCCATCTCCCATCCCCCCACCCCCCACTCCCCCGAATCTTAACTTTTTAAAGAACATGACCTTAACAAGGAGACAATTTGGAGATAAACCAGTAGAAGGAGGTAGGAAGAAGAGAGTGTGATTGGGGTGAAAATGATCAAAATATATTGTATAAATGTATGAAAATATAATGAAACCATTAAAATTGTAAAAGAAGAATAAAAAGTAATAGAGGGAGTGAATATGATCACTTATTATACAGGCATTTATAGATGAAGGAAAGAAATTCCTTTGTATAGTTAATATATGATACTAAAATAAAATAAATTTTAAAAACGGAATTAAAACTAATAAACTCAGAAACAGAGAAGACAATGATGGTTGGCAGAGGTTTGAGTAGAGGGTTTAAGATGGTGAAGTTAGTCAAAGGTTATGAAATTTCAGTTGGACAGAATTAAGTTCAGGAGATCTATTATATGAAAATTGATGATAGTTAATAAAATGTTTTATACTTGAAAATTGCTGACAAAATAGAATGTGTTTTCCTAGCAAATCATTGAAGAGTATGTGAATCAATACACATGTTAACATTTTTTAAATAATGTTGTACACCATAACATATATAATTTTATTTATCCATTGAATAAATTTATTAATTATTTTATGTAATTATCATACTATGAGAACATTTGACATACTGCTAATATATGTTTATATATGTATGCATATATATGTTCTCATATAATACCCATAATTTTATCTTTGTCACTTAAGGGAATTATTTGTACTAACTTAGAAACAATAATGAATAATTTTTATCAAGGAAGTTGAGCGTTTAATCTAAGTCCTATGTAATCATTGAATTTGGTTGAGAAGTTGAACTAAAAAAGATTTGGTTAGTAAAACAGAAATTTAACAACTTATATTCCAATAAATAATCATTTTTCATTGAAGCAAAAAATGTAACTATAATACAATGTGTCACAGAATAGTATGAGCACATATAAGGAGATAATTTTCAAAGCTTTTAAATTGAATTTTTAATTTTAATTTAAAAATATAAAGTGTACCTCTCTTCCTTGTAACCTATGGTTGCTGGAGAATATCGCACAATATAGTTAATACATTCTAATGGCTTAATTGTAAATTCTGAGTAACCATTAAGAGCAGGATCTGTTAACTGCACATTCAGTCGAATAAACTTGGTTGTCGAATTAGAAAGAGGTATTTCAATACAAGCTGTTTCCTAGAATTACAAAACAAATACATAGCTTTTAGTGTCAGCACAGTCATTGTTCTATGTCAAATATAAGAACAACTATTATATATATATATATATATTTGCATATATTTATTTATTTTCTCCTGATCAACTAGTGAACATGTCTTTTTCCTCATAGGCCTTCCTTGATTAGGCTTAGTAAACTGTAAACATTAATATTTTGATGATGTCTTATTTATTCACAAATGCTCATTTTCTCTCTCTTTTTTTGGGTCCGGTCGTGGAGCCTGAACTCTGGGCCTGGGCGCTGTCCCCAGCTCTTCAGCTCAAGACTAGCACTCTACCACTTGAGCCACAGTGCCACTTCTAGGTTTTTTTTCTGCTTATGTGCTGCTGAGGAATCGAACCCAAGGCCTCAGGCACGCAAGGCAAGAACTCTACCACTGAGCCACCTTCCCAGTCCCTTTCTCATATTTTTATTATCTTCAAATAGTTCAACCAAAGGTTTATCATTCAACAAATCAGTTTATAAGTACTATATATCTTCATTAATGTCACCTCTTTTATCTTTTGCCTTCATCCCTTCTGACTTACATTGATATTCTTGATGATAATAATAAATGTTTATTTCAAAATAGCTAATCAGAAGAATAAATGTTAAAAGTGATGGGTAAAACCAGGCACCAGTGGTAGTTCCTGTAATCTTAGCTACTCAGGAGCCTGAGATGTAAGGATCACAGTTCTAAGCCAATCCAGAGATGAAAAGTCTGTTAGGCTCTTATCTCTAATTAACAATGAAAAAGCTGGAAATGGAGCTGTGGCTCACATGGTAGAGTGCTAGCCTTGAGCAAAAAACCTTAGGGACAAAGTTTAAACCCTATGATTAACAGACAAACACATACAAAAAAAGTGATGAATATTCCACATACCCTGACCATTACATGTTATATATAGTATTGAAATGCCACACTAAATCATATGTATGTGTACATTTGTCAGTTAAAAAGAAAATACATGTATTTATATGTATATAAATATGTGTACATGCATATGTATATATGCATATGCATGTTTGAATATACATGTGTATACAAATTGTAACAATTTCTTAATAGCAACTACTACAATGGAATCAATATAATAAGAAAGCTATTTGTGAAATTACATTTAAAATATTTTTGCATGTAACGTTATTTCTATTAAATCTGTTTTTCAATGTTTCCACCACCAGTAACTTTATGTGATCATATGTCAGTTTACTGATGCATTTATAAAACTATCATAGGGCTTAACTTCCTAAGACATTCCCAAGGGTCACACACACACACTTGTGCACACACACACACACACACACACACACACACACCCTTTAGTAAAGAATATCAAGTATTATTATGTGTATATTGGCCTACAAAATTTGCCTAAAACTTAAGATAGAAATTTGAAATGAAGCATTTTGCTATAGACATTTGTCTTGACCTATCACTTAGATATTTTTCAAAGATAATCGCTGTCAGTTCAAGAAAATGTCACATATTCTTCACAGAAGCAAAAATAATGTGATTTTCCACATTTTAACCACAATACAAAATAATTCAATTTTCTGTATATTCCCATCCAAATACACAAATCAGAAAACTTTTACAAACCAATCCCTGCACTTTCCACAATACTTCATATTATATTTAATTCCATTTAACTTAAAAATAATGTAGATTTTAATCCACTCACATCAAGAGACCTGTACATGAGACATTTAGATCCTGATCTAAAGAAAAAGTCAGACACAAGGAGCTTCATGCCTATAATCCAAGCCACCTCTTGCAATATATATATATATATATATAATATATATATATATGTATATGAGATTGTATTTTAACCAGCAAAATGCCAGAATGGGGGACACCATCCATGAACAAAAAGGCTGATCAGGAGTGCAATACCTTGAGTTCAAACTCCAGTAGTAGCACAAAAATAAATATGTATATAAATACATACATATCTACGTACATACCTACACACATACACACATAGGAAAAATACTAGCTCCTGGAACTCTTTTAGCCCTTAAATAAAACTTTGAATACAGAATACAATCATATTTTTAAACCTGTTCTTTTCCCTGTAAACTACAATTCATTCAACAGAACCAAACTTTCATGTTGCATCTTGAGCACAGGAAATGGGGAAGGTAACTATTAGAGCATTTAATTGCAACCATTGCACTTTGTCAACTATGCCAAGTATTACTAGCTGACCACTGGAGAATTGCCAAGTAGGTCTGTGTCTGATTCTCAATCTCCGTCACAGAACAGCCTTCAGATAATAATTGTTTTTTTTTATTTTATGTATATATATATTATTGTAAAAATATTGTACATAGGGGTTACAGTTACATGAGTAAGGTCATGAGTACATTTCCTATGGAGCATTGTTACCTCTGTCTTTGTTTTTCCCCTACCATCCCTTCCTTCCCCACCTCTCCAACTCCTCCCTTCCCCCCACCCCAAAGTTGTAAAGTTCATTTTCAACATAGTGTCTTATACATCTCGTTACAATGGGTCAACCTGTATCCTTATTTCAGCATTTTGTTATTTCTCTTCCCCTCCCCAAATTAGAAAAATGTATATACAAGATACCAGGCACTGGAATCAAATACAGTGAAAACATGTGTTATACATACCATGGGGGAAGAACATACAAAAGAACAAAAAAATCACATAGTACATTATAAATACATTAAAAACAATAGCAAGAAAGATAAAAACCCCTTGTGTCCCTATCTTGGGGTTCATTTTACTTAGTATCACCTTATATGGTCATATGTGCATAGCTTTTGACCTTTCTGCTTGTCCTAGACATAAATGCTTAGAAGAATCAATTCTGTAACCTCTTGAGAATCTCTGATATTTAATTATCTGCAGTCCTGAAAATCTTCATAGATTCAACAGAAACATCTGTTTATTAGAGTCAAAAGATTTAAGTTTTTATTAATATATTGTATTTAATTAAAATATTTTAAACTTAAAATAGAAAAATAAATTTTTAAATTTCATCAATACTTTGATATTATTTTTTCTAAGCCTAAATAGAAAAAAACGCATAAAATACACTATTACATAGATTTATATTTTAAATGCCCACACACCAAACATTCTCAAAATAATATAAATTTTTAACTGTAAGTAGTTTTAAGTATATATATGTATATACATATATATGGATATATTAATCAAGTATTTTTAAAATATTTGTCATATTCTGTGAATTAAGAACTTTTTGTCATTTATCACTTTATGAGATGATCAAATTTTATTCTGTTTGTTCTTTAAATTACCACTCCTTATGTTATTGATAAAATTCCATAAATGCCTAGTCATTATAATCAAATAATGTAAAGCAGGTATTGTGTAGATAGGCATGGTGGTGCATGCTTGTAATCCTAATTCTCTGAGAGTTTAAGACAGGATGGAGAGTTCAAGGCTAGCTTGGGCAACAAACAAATAAACAGAATATAGAAAAAAGTGACATAGTTTTCTTGTTTAAGATGTCCTACCTTGTTCCCATACAATTTCATGCTAAATAATTCAAACTTTATGAGGAGTTGAATTTATGTGACTACTTCATGATAAAGTTTTCAATATTTGTGTGTTAACTACCTTGCCAGTGGCATATTCTTCTCCTATGATGAATAGGCCTTTAAGGTTAATTTATTGAACATAAATTGGACTGATGGTTTTTTTCTTTTTCTTTTTTGTTGGTCATAGGGCCTGAACTCTAGGTCTGGGCACTGTCCCTCAGCTATTCAGCTCTACCACTTGAGTCATAGCACCACTTTCTGGCTTTTTCTGCTTATGTGGAGCTGAGGAATCAAACCCAGGACCTCATGCATGAAAGGCAAGCACTCTACCACTGAGCCAACTTCCCAGCCCCTGGACTGATGGTTTTTGAAACTCAGATAAAATAGTATTGACTATATATGTGGTTGTCTTAAACAATCTTTCTTCTTCATATAGATTTTTTTAGGTTCAACCATAGAGAACATTCCTTTAGAAGGCATCCAGTAATTTTTACTTCCTTTTACTTAAGGGATATTTTAGTGAACATGATGACTGTTAAAAAAAATTGCTTCCATTTGTCAGATTCTTTTGTAAAAGCACTAACATATGCATATTCAATCTTGTGAAGTAAAGATTTTAAACAGGAAGAGCATTTACAAGTTGCTAAAATTTAGAATAATGAAAATTCAAATATTCATAAAAGAGTGTAATACCATTTTAAATATGTATGAACAGGTATATTTAATTTTGTTATAAACTCTTCCAGAGGAAATTAGAATGCATATATATTTTTTAACAAACATAAGATATTTTCAGCATTTAAATTTCATTTCCATGTTTATCATTTTCTTACAAAGGAAAAGACATTTTGAGAAGTTTAAAAACAATCATTCATCACCTCTTCATACCCTTTAGTAACTTAATTGCACATGGTCTAAAATCTTGCACCTTGCATTTGAGTCTCTCTGAAATCTGCCCCTGAGTAGTCTCTGATCAAAATTCCTCCTTCCACTTTTTTCCCCAAACTTTAGCCTTAACAACTTCTTTTCTGTTTCTCCTATCCTTTTCTGACTCTCTAATGACAAATAAAAATCACATATACAAAGAGCTTGGATCCTTAAATTACATATGAAGGATGCCACTTACCATCCAGAATCACATACAACAGATGACAATTATTATCTTTTATTGTATTAAACTATTGAAAATTGGGTAAACTGTTGTATGAGATAGAAATTTCATGACTAATTTTTCTCTAAAATAGTGTAACAACACTTTTTCTAATATACAAATAAAATGATAAATGCTTCTCAGGTTTCTAATTTTATCTGAAAAATTCTCCAAAATAACAACAAAAACCCTTCCTAATTTCAGTTATTTTGATTTCTTTAACATCATGTAAATTAGAATACTACTCTTACTGTTGGTCATTATTCCTTGAAGGCTTCTTAAAGTAATGCCACAGATAGATGAGACAATATATATTAATTGAAGAATAAATATGTAATTTATAAGAGGATTTTGTGTTTGTATATAAATCTAAGTATTGATACGTCTGATATTCTGAATAGTCACCACTTTCTTGAGACAGGGACTTGCTATATAGCCATCTGGCTTGGAACTTTCCATATTGACCAGCTGATTTTAAACTCAGGCTCTTCCTTCCTCCACTTCGTGAATGCTGGATGGCTTTAGAAAGCTACCATAGCTGGATTTCTAAAGATTACTCTTCTTCTTTTTTTCAACCTGCAGTGCTGAGAATCAAACCCAAGACCTTGTGCATGTTGTATATTTGAAACTTATTGAATGAAGGCAGCTACTTCAGATGGAACTGAAACCATCACATTATCATTCTATCTCTTGGGTAATGTTGTCACTTGGTTGCTGGTACACACTTCCACAAAGAAAATAAAAATTGAATTCACTGAGTATTAGCATGAAAAACAGTCAATTTCCACTGGGCTTAAATAAATAAAGATATATTTGTATCTATAAATGCTTAATTGACTCAATGATAACTCAATATTCACTATCAAGGAATATTTCTCACCATATCCTCTCTCAGAAGATTATCATGAGTTCAATACAAAATGACTGTTCCTGAGGTATAAACACCAAATAATATTAAACATATTGAGGAAACTTCCAATTTTAGCTTTATTCATATTGAAATCACAGCCAAGTCAACAAGAAAACTGAAGTAAAGGGCATTTTAGAAGTATTATGTAATTCAGAATAAATGATAACTTTAATCAGTGTAGGTAATTTTCCTAAATTAAATTGTAAGTTCAAGTAGTTCAGAACCTGGAAGAATCAGGGTGGGAATTGTAAATTAGAAATGCTATTGTCATTCATCTCTCATTCTCATATACAACCACTGAATCTAAGAAAGTCATGCTTCAATTTTATCCTTTACTTACAACCTAACATTCAATCTGAACCATACAGAATGCACAGTACTGTCAAGGTTGGTTGCTAATGCTTAGCTGGGGGAAACATGGGTTCAAAATGCATTACTATGTGCCTGAGAATTGTGCTGATGCCAGAAACTCCACAAAAAAATCCTATAGGTTTATTTATTTGCATCCATACATAGTCTATGACCTTGAGCAAAAAAATTATAAGACAACTTTTAAAACCTATACATGAGTGCCTTTCAATATTTTCACCATCTATTTTCTATGCTTCCAGGGAAATTTACCCAGAAATTAGGTGGACAAATAATCAATTTTTAGACTTAAATGTTTTAAATGATTCCTCACTTATTTTCTATTTATTGGAGCCAAATTTAAGATTCTAATCAAATCTATGAAGAAATCTCTATATACTTTAAAATGAAAACATTTGATCGTTCTCAGTTGTAACCAAAAGTCAATTACAAGTAATTAAAACATTATTAATTTCAATTAATACCATCATCTTGTTTCATTTAAATCTTGACTCTTGATAATAGGATTTAATAAATAATTTGAGCACATATTTCATGTCACTTCATTAACTCAAGTAAGAAAATTCAATTCTTTATCATTGCTAGCAAACGTATGCTAGTTGCTCCAAATATGTTTCAAAGTGACTGCTATAGTTGAAGTATGGAGGAAGAATGCTAATTAGTGCAGTGAATATAAGATATCATATCACAAAAAGATGTTTTCTCAATGCACTGAAAGTCTAAAATTGCTATGACTGCTTTATGTCAAGGTACTTATTTGATATGAAGGTTTTTTGAGGATAGAAAGTTAGTGTACCACAAAAGTTCTGTTTCCCAAATCACTGAGTCTCTGAGCATTGAATGGCACTTACCAAAGCAGAGCAATGCACTTCAATAATATCTCTTGGTGGTCCAGGAGAGCAATGGATCACAATATCATACCAGATTTTAAAGTTTGTATAATTTTCATCTGAAAACAAAACAATACCAAAACCTTCTAAATAAACAGGAAAAACTAACAGCATTCTTAACTTGGGCTTCAGAATATAGTACTTCACACACAAATTTGAGAATCATATACAAAACCATTTTTATGCAGGGGATGGGGAATGCAGTTGTGGAGATGGGAGGGAAGGGATGGTAGGGGAAAAACAAAGGAGGAGGCAACAATGCCTGATAAGAAATATACTCATTACCTTGCTCATGTGATTGTAACCCCTCTGTACAGTATTTTCACAATAAAAACTTATTTAAAAAAACAAAAAAACATTTTTAATTAGCTCATTGGGCATGAGAGCTGAATAGAGGTTATGCACCACAGTTTGTGAGCAATAAGAGAAGCCTCATCCTGCATTAGAAAATCCTGTTAAAGCTGCCAGTTGTGTGCCTGTCCTGGGAACTCAAGTTCTCTACTAAAATAAACTATGGATTTACCTTTAAATCAAAGGTTCATAATGTAAAGAAACAATCTATCTTTCCTCTAATTGGCATATATTTATATATAGGTCCATATAAATGTCTAATGGACACATCACATTTCACAATGGTACATTTCCAGTACATAAGAATTTAGATTGAGGACAAAGTAAGGAATATCAGATAGCAGCTTTCCTGAAAGTGTATAAAAGATGCTAGTAATTTAACCCAAGGAAGTCTAGAAAGGATTTTGGACTAAGTAGTGTGGCAATAATGCCTATAAAGCAGACAGCAGTGCAATGGCAAATGTCCCAAGCCATATCCTCCCCTCTGAAACTGGAGCTCTGAACAATCACAACATTTTGTAGGTGTCCAAAACCTACCTTATTTGTAGTAGCAAATATAGTTTCTATTTTTCTCACCTGTTAGGGCTCTCATCCAGTGTCTAAACAGTTGTGGCCTGAGATATTCTCTTCTTTTAGTAAATAATATGCATGTTCATATTATTATTTGCAAGTTAAAAATTCAAAACCTTTTAAGCTACTTAGGTAAGTAACTAAACTTTGGGCCTTAGTTCCAGAAAATAAGGGGCCCACAATATTGTCTTTCTCAGTGTCTCCTTCTTATAGAAAGTTTTTTTCTTTTTTTCTTTTTTGGTCTGTTGTGGGGCTTGAACTCTGGGCCTTGTGCTGTCCCTCAGCTCTTCAGCTCAAGGAGAGCGCTCTACCACTTGAGCCACAACACTTCTTCTGGTTTTCTGGTGGTTAATTGGAGATAAGAGTCTCACAGACTTTCCTGCCCAGGCTGGCTTTGAACCGTAATCCTCAGATCTTAGCCTCCTGAGTAGCTAGGATTACAGTCTTGAGCCACCAGTGCTCAGCTGGAAAGCTTTTTTTTTAAATTTTTAAATTATCTTTAAGTAGTTGTACAAAGGTGTTGCCATTCAACAAAGCAGTTATGAATTCAATGCAACTTGATCTATGTCACCCTTTTCATCATTCTTTCCATCCCTCCCGACCCTCACCCTTCCCTCAATTTTCTTAATTTTGTAGGAAATTCATTGAATTTTATGATCGCATCCTTCCCCTCCTCCCTCTCATCCTTCATCTACCCCCTCCAGCCCCTTGACCGCACCTGCTGTTTCAAGTACCCATTTCCTGGTGTTTATTTTGTTGGGCTGTGAGTTATTTATGAGTTTATTGTTTTGTGCTGCATTGTCTGGAATTGTGTAAAATTGAATGATATTGAATGGAATATTGTGTTATATTGAATTACATTGTACTTTCACTGCATGTACTCTACTATTATGTGTTGCACTATGTTGTCTTACATTCCATCTTATTATAACACATAAAACATAAACTGGTAAGCCTGAAAGACATGCCAAATAATTTGAGAAATAGAATTAGAGGTGGTCTAGGTAAGTTATTCCAAATATTTGTGAAGAGAGTTCTATTTTATCTCTTTTATTGTCAAGGTGATATTGTCAAGGTTTACAGTTACCTAAGTAAAATAATAAGTACATTTCTTCTCAAACATGTTACCTCTTCCCTCATTTTTCTCTTATTTAATCTCTTTTTATGGTGTTAGTAATGGAACCCAAGATTTGGCATATTCTAGACAAGGTTTCCAACACTAAGCTGTATCCGCGGGCACTGTGAAAAGTTCCTAATCTCAATGTTACCTTCTTACTTTGTATTGTCTCTTGTGCTTATTTTGTAGATGTCATTAAAAACTATTAATGTACAGAAAATGCAGTTACCAAATGTATACTTGTGTGATCTTACTGAGGAAATTTCTCACATTTGTATGAGTTGACCTTTAATTCTTTTAAAGCAGTTTGAATGTGTTTATGTTTAAATACAACTCTTCAAATAAACCAAAGTTCTCTAAATAGAAAATATTTCACTTTCTGTATATCTCAAATGTATTTTTTGATTGTTTCAATGCTTTAATCTTATACAACAATAATACAGATAAGAAAGAGTATAACTGTTGAGATTTCTTTATAGCTCTGAGCTAGTACAAAAAATTCCTTCAAATCAGAAGACTAGTAAACCTTGAAATGACTATCATTATTTTAGATGTTTGGCAAACTCAAAAAACTCCATTCGTCTTTGAACAATATTAGTCAAGGTTAACTACAGCAATAGAAGTAAAAAGAGTGTGTGTGTGCTAGTGTTCCTATTTCAGTTAAGAATTCTATTACAAATTCATTAAATAAAAATATCTCCTTTTGTTTACTTCCTTGTCACTGAACTTTTTCACCAGTTCAATTATTTCTTATAATTGTTTATGTCTCTGTTGCTTATACATAAAAAAATATGTAGGAAGGCAAAGTCAAAGTTCAGCAAAATAAAACATCAGAAAGCGGGAGGTACTCAAAAGTTATGGGGTCAAGGGGAGAAGGATAAATGAATGAAGAGGTGAAGAGCAGAAGAATCCAGTCAAGAATCCAACGTATATCCTACAAAATTAAGAAGAGTGAGGGAAAGGTTGGGCAGGGAAGGGATGGATGAGAATGTTGAAAGGGACGACATCAACCATATAAACAGTATTCATAAACTGCTTTGTTAAATGGCAACTCTGTTGTACAACTACATGAGAATAATTGTAAAAATGTAAAAAATAAAGAATAAGACATTTTCCAAGAAACTTGCCTTGCTGGTTGCAATTCATCACTAACACATTTTTCACTCAGCTTCTATTAAGAAGATAACCTGTTTAACAACGTTTAAGGAAAGCTTCATAGCATGAGGAGGAAATGCAATAGCAATACACACAGATACATGTCTCTATATATATATATGTATAACATACACATATATGTATATATGTGATAAATATTGGTTTATATGTGTCTGTGATTGTGTAGGTACATGTATATATGTATATACATATTAAAAATAGAGAATAAGTAAGTCAATTATTAAACAGAAAAAAGAAATACAAAAAGCAGTTCTTCTAAGAAATGACCCATAAATCCATGAAGAAATATTCAATATCTTTAGACCTACAAGAAATGCAAATCAAAATCACAGTGAGATTTATTTATCTTAAGAAAATATTTTATCACATCAAGAAAATAAACAACAAACACTTTCAAGGATACAAGAAAAATGAACTTTTATACAGTTAGTGAAATGAAATTTAGTGTAGCTACTATTTAAATTAGTATGAAGATTCCTAAAAAATATAATAGTAGAACTTTTAAATAACCCTGCCATCCCTCTTTCGGTTATATATCTGAAAGAGTGTAAGCCACCATAAAATAGAAATACCTGCATACCTATGTTTATAGCAACACTATTCAGAATAACGAGGCTGTGGAATCAGCTTGAGTGCCTAATGACAGATGAAAGGGAAGAGTGAACAAATGCAGCAATGGTACTCACTGGACACTATGTGGAAAATGAGCTATACAACTTGTGATTTTGTAATTGGGGATGGGAGGGAAAAACTGGGAGATAATGAAGGAAGGGGTGACATTTTCCAGAAACAAATGTACTGTCTACCTGACTTATGTAACTATAACCCCTCTGTGATCACCTTTATAACAATAAAAGTATAAAAAGAAAATGTAGTATATAAATATTTGCAATGGAGTATTATTCAGCCATAGAGAAGGATAAAATTATGTTGTTTGTAGAAAAATGGTTGGAACTAGAGGCTATCATGTTAAGTAAAAAGTCATGCTCATAAAAACAAAGAGTATACATTTTCTATAATAAGCAAAAGCTAAACCTAAAGCAAAACAGGACAAGAACATATGTGGAAATTACTTGGAAGGTGAAAGAAAGAAACAGTTTATGTAGAATGTGTGAAAGAGTCAACATGAAACCCATTTAAAAATTTCAAGAATGATGAAAAAGGGGTGTGGGAGTAGGAGGTTAGAATGGTGTAAGAAAGAGCATTGATGGGGATGCATATGATTAAAGTGTCTTATTTGAATTTATGGAAAATTACAATGTCTCAATAAAAAAGAAAAAAAGTGAATGATAATGAGAATTTGTACAGACTGATCAGAAACTATCATAATAAATGTATCTGATTCTTCTTCATGAAACTATCATAAATAATTTACCTGTTTCTTCTTCAAAAATAATGTGAGAGTCCTCTGATGGGGTTAGTTCATCACTAGTGTCATCCTGAGAACTAATTTCATCTCTGCTCTGAACACAAAACGTAATTGCACCTGCAAGACATAGGTATAAGATGCCAAATTAACCAGGAAGGAATTTTCAAAAACAGTAGTCCCAAGTATTAGTTACTCTATCTAAAAACTTACAAACATAAATCTAAACATTAGTTCTACATGCTAGTATGATAATTAAGCTTGTTGAAGTTACAGAACAGTTCAATAAAAGTTCAAATAAATATCAAAATCTCACTCAAATACTAATGTCAGTAACTTTTCTGAAAACAATAAAGTAGTTGTGTCAATTAATAAATCTGTCTCATCTTTCAGATAACATTGATAATGGGTGACTGTTGTTATGTATTTTCTTCTTTAGTATTATTACTACATTATTAATTATCTCACTGAAAAAAAAAACATTTATGCTGGGCGCCAGTGGTTCATGCCTATAATTCTAGCTATTTGAGAGGCTGAGATACGAGAATCACAGTTCAAAGGCAGCCCATGCAAGAAAAGTTCATGACACTCTTTTCTCTAACCACCAAAATCTAGAAGTGCAGCTGTGGGCAAAATGTTAAAGTATTAGCCTTAAGCTAAAAGCCTGGGGACAATGCCAGTCCCTAAACTGAAACCCCAGGACTAGTGCATGTACATGTACACACTCTCTCTTCTATTCTCTCTCTCTCTCTTTCTCTCTCTCTCTCTCTCTCACACACACACAAAGTTTTTACATAGCATAATAGTATTATAATATTCCCTATTATGAATGTTCTGAGAACATGTAATGCATAAAATAATAACCACTTTATATAAAAATAGTGTCAAAAGTTATCACTACCTAGACAATTTGGTACATTAGAATTAACCTATACAAAATTACTATTAATTTTTAATATATTTTAATATATTTATGGAAGTAATCCAGAAATGGCCCTTGGTTTCTTCATATCAGGTTAACACATGTGAATCTTTACACACAAAACCATGAATTCCTAAGAGAAAAATAAACTGAGATGAAAACATATTTTCACTTGCTTGGGTAAGTAGTATAAATGCTTTGTTGTATTTATAGGCAATTGAAAGATTCTATTAGGTAGATTATCAAAGATAGTGAAATATGTAACTTTAGACTTGTCCAATATGGGTGTCACTAGCCACATATAACTATTAAGCCATTAAAATACTTGTAATCTTTTTTTTTGCCAGTACTAGGGTTTGAACTGAGGGCCTTATACTTGCTAAACAAGCTGGGCTATATAGTGAGACCTTATCTTAAAAATATGAAACAAAACATTTATGTAAGGTAGTAGAAAAGATGTTCTAAGAATTCTATTACAACTGAAAATCTTAAGCACATGCAGAAACTAAGAATACATGGTAGCAATACATCATAGGAGTTATTTACTCTCTGTGGTGGTCTGAAGGCTTGGCATTAAGGGTTTTATGTTGCTAATTGCAACCAGAGACACTGCTATGGAATGCTGGAGCCAAAGAAATTAGAAAACACAAGCATAGATAGACAGAGAGATTGTGGGGAAAACAGGGTCCCAAGGCTCACTGGTACTTGGGCCTGGAGTTCCCACAAGCAAGTACATTTATTTGAGTACACACAGGGAAGGTTACTATGGATACATGCAAAAAAAAAAAAGAAGAAGAAAGTTTCTATACCAATATTACAAGCAGAGTCAAAACAGAGTTCGTGAGAATCACTGGTTCCCTTATTATTTTAAAAATAGAGACTGAAACCCAGACAAAGTCCTGATATGTATTTCACTTTAGCCTCTCCAAGTTTAAACTGTCAGCCCTTTTGTCTAGCCATTAGTCTTTCTAGCCAGTCCTTCCAGCACTAAGGAAGTGGGGCTGAATTGTAGTTTCTTAACCTCTCCAGAGCTGTTTTAGCCCTTCCATTGCCAATTCTCAGTGTTTTAAGTACTGTCCAGGTAGTGTTCCAACCTCTCAAAACTTTCCCAGGTTTCACAGCTCAGCTTCAGAGTTCCCCTACAGTTTTAAATGGGAATCCAAGAAGAAATCATCAGGAAATTGCTCATATTTGCATGGCTTGAAGCTCAGACTCTACATTATTTTTGCCTGCCAAGTTCTATATTAATATGTAACTTCTTAACTCAAGACATAGACATGGGACCTTCAAGTATCTTTTTTTTTTCTGGTCGTGGGGCCTGAACTCTGGGCCTGGGCACTGTTCCTCAGCTCTTCAGCTCAAGGCCAGCGCTCTACCACTTGAGCCACAATGCCACTTCTGGCTTTTTCTGATTATGTGGTGCTGAGGAATCGAACCCAGGGCCTCATGCATGCAAGGCAAGCAATCTACCACTAAGCCACCTTCCCAGCACCACCTTTAAGTATCTTTATGAGTTTATAAAGTTATTGGTAAAATTTGCTTTCTTGAGCCAGGTGCTGGTGGCTTACGCCTGTAATCCTAGCTACTCAGGAGGCTGAGATCTGAGGATCACCATTCAAAGCAAGCCCTGGCAGGAAAGCCCATGAGACTCTTATCTCCAATTAACCACCAGAAACCTGGAAGTGGTGCTGTGGCTCAATTGGTAGAGTGCTAGCCTTGAACTGAAGAGCTGAGGGACAGCACCCAGGCTCAGAGTTCAGGCCCCACAACCACCACCACCAACAATAATAACAAAAGCTGCTTATGATGCCAATATTCACAAGCTGGACACTGAACTCACTAAACATGATATCCTCAATAAGGGTCTGAGAACACTCAAACTTAAAGAAATGGTTTATGTATAGATTATTAGAGTAACTGGCATAAATTATTATTTTTTGTCAGTTGAGGGGCTTGAACTCTAGGCCTGGATGCTGTCCCCTCAGTTCTTCAGCTCAAGGCTAGTGCTCTACCACTTGAGCCACAACACCACTTCTGGTTTTCTGGTGGTTTATTGGAGATAAGAGTCCCATGGACTTTCCTTCCCTGGCTGGCTTTGAACCATGATCCTCAGATCTCAACCTCCTGAGTAGCTAGGATTACAGGCCTGAGCCACTGGTGCCTGGCTATGGTTCCCAACTTTTATCCTAAGATCTTATCCTCCTGAGTAGATAGAATTACATGAGTGAGCTACCAGAAGGCTATGTATAAATTATTTTTGAAAAAGATGCTGGGTGTAGGTGGCTTACATCTCCAATCCTAGCTACTCAGGAGGCTGACTTCTGAGAATCATGGTTCAAAGCCAGCTTGGGCAGGAAAGTCTGTGAGACTTTTCTCTAACTACTAAAAAGCTGGAAGTAAAGCTGTGGGTCAAAGTAGCAGAGCAATATGGTCGAGCACAAAAGCTGAGAGCCAGTGCCCAGAGGTCCTGAGGTCAAGCCTCAGGACAAGCACTAAAACATTGCTATGTAAATTAAAATTATATAAGCCCAATTCTTACACATCTAAGTTTACTCAGTACTGTATAAGGAATGAGCTGCTTTATGTTGTAAGCATGCTTGTTTATAACCATCTCTTAGTCATATTAGTGAAATGTTAATGCATTCAAGATAAATTTAAGGAGTATTGTTAGTAAAGTACTGGATAGATATCTGTACTTACTCATGTCTTGTAATAATTAACAGCAAAATTCTATTGCATTCTAATATTTATCCTAACCATATAAATATTATGACTATTAAAGAGAAAAATTGTCAATGTATTTTGTGGTATTCACATTATTTCTATGACTACTTCAAACGATGACTTTTTCATCATTTTATTTGCTTGCTTTTTTTCAAGTTCTATATTTTCATACTTAGTTTGAATGATTCAACGTTTCCCATTTCTGTGGAATTTACTGACATAATAAATTATTTTGAAGTCAATAAAGAGCTAGGCTATTCCCTAGCCTATCTTTTTGACTGATTCACTCTGACAGTTGTTTCTTCTTTCTTAAAATTACTTATATCAGAATATTTAACTCTTTCCTCTTTTCTTTCCATATTTAATTTTCACTAAAGAAAAATGAAGAATGAATAAATTGTTGAACTCTGATGTTTCCTTCTAATACGTTTGAAATACCAAATGAATAACACCTTTCTGAAAAAAAATCAACTAATGAGGACATTGTTCAAAAAATATGCTCAATAACCGACTTACATAATTGTAATCCTTCTGTATATCACCTTTTCAATAAATATTTTTTTAAAAAAACAAAATTTTACATAATGAATTAGCCCCATGTCTCAATTTTTAGGACCCTTTTGTAAACTAATGTTTCCTTTGATCACATTTGCATTGGTGAAATAACTATTTTAAGCCAATAAATCATATTATAGAGAAAAAAGTAGAAAGCCGAGAACTTTGGGGATGTTAACTCCAAAATGCAAGGTGATAAGACAAAGTAAACAAGACTCAAGAAACAAAGGACCTCCTCTCATCTGGTCGAATCATTACTAAATAACCCCATGCTGCTGATCGCATATATGGTATATATGCGCACATCAGAGGGAAACTAGGAGGACACAGAACTAGAGGGAAACAGGGCAAAACATACAACAGTGGGACCCATCAGCTACATTAGACATTGATCAAAACAAACTAAACAACACAATGGCAGCGGTGGGCGGGAGGGAATGAGCAGGAAAGAGGGAACAGCTGACACTAAGCAAAAGGAAAGGAATGTATATATAACCCAATGTGGAAGAAATAACTGTATAGTGAAAGCTCAAAGAATTTATAAACTTTATAGACCACTATAGACAATTAGAATGTGTTTGTGACTTTAACTAAGTATTACTATCCCACAATACTGTGAAATTTGTGAAATTATGTAAGTACTTAATCACAATAAAGAATTTGCCAAAAGAAAGAAAGAAAGAAAGGAAGAAAGGAAGGAAGGAAGGAAGGAAGAGCACCTGCTTGACAAGCCTAAGACCCTAAGGTAAAACCCTATTACCACCAAAATAAATTCTAATAAATGGTCAGTTTTACACTAGAAATTATGTCTGTGTGTGTGTGTGTGTGTGTCTGTGTGTGTGTGTGTGTTAAATTTCTGGCCATTCAGAAAGCTAATAAGCTAATGGACAAAATGAAAAACTAAGTATATCTCTGGGAAATTCATTAGAAAATAGAAATACAAATTAAATTTTACTTCTTTTCATTATACTTCTATCCTAGTGTATTCATTAATAAAATGGATTTGATACCTTTGAATTCTCCACGTTTTTGAGGACTCACTTTTAAAAGGTATGGAAATGAATTATCAGGTTCTACAGAGATGTGTGATTTTCCACACACCATTTGCAGATCTGAAAATACCTAGAAAAGTATGGAAAGTAAGAATTATACAAGGTGGAATGGAAATATGTTCTCTGTTACACTATATTAAATTTAATATAATAAACTAAAGCACAGAAAAAGCTGAAAATTTAGTGCATTTATTGCAGCATTATTTATCATAGCTAAGATATGGAACCAACCTAGATGCCCCTCAGTAGATGAATGGATCAAGAAAATGTGGTATATATACACAATGGAATTCTATGCCTCCATCAGAAAGAATGACATTGCCCCATTTGTTGGGAAATGGAAAGACTTGGAAAAATTATATTAAGTGAAGTAAGCCAGGCCCAAAGAAACATAGGTCCCATGGTTTCCCTTATTTGCAATAACTAGTATATGTCTGAGTCAAGCAGAAAAGATCAGATAAGTTGGTGTTAGGGGAATGAACCCCAAGATAAGTATTCAAGTGTTTTTTTCTTTCATGCAATTATTTCTAACATATTTGTAAGATAATTTCTATGTTGCTTTGTATGTCCCTCCCCCACGGTATAATCCCTGCTTTCACTGTATTTGATGTTGGTATAATTTGTGTGAAGGGGACGGGCAAAAACAAATCGTTTAACTAGGGATACAAGTAGACCCATTACAACAATGAGATGTACAAGTTGTTATGTCGAAAAAAGAACTTCACAACTTTGGTGGGGGGGGGAAGGACCAAGTGGGGGGGAGGTGGGGGGAGTATGGGAAGGGATGGGAAGGGGAAACAAAGAGGAGGCAACAATGCTTGATAAGAAATGTACTCATTACCTTGCCCATGTAATTGTAACTCTTCTGTATGGTATTCTCACAATAAAAAAAATTGTTGGAAGACAATTTGGAGGTGGGGGGTTGGGAGGAGGGAAAGTGGGCGAAAACTGAGGAAAGGGGTAACAAGTTTGACAAGAAATGTACTTATTACCTTAATTATGTAATTGTAACCCCTTTGTACATCACCTTGAGAATAAATAAAAAATAAAAAAGATGAACATGAAAAAAAACTGCACTTTAAAATGAAAACTCAGAAAAGTGAGACATTCAATAGAAGAAAATATTTTAAAAGACATTAACAATTAGAACAGGAAAATAATTCTTACACATAAACAATGTTTTATTCTTGGTTGCTAATTGTATCAAGATATCTCATGCTTTGAAAATATCAATTTCTTTTATGAGCTAAGTTTAATTTAAGCAATTTTATGTAAAAGAAAACTATTTCAATGATATTATACATTAATATTAACATAGCATATAAAGAATAAGAAGAATTTGACAACAACCCTGGATAAACACAACTTCCAGGTTCCTGGGTGCTTCTACCATGCCACTTTCCATGATCCAAACACTATGGCATTTGTTTTTCTATCAATTGGGCTATTATGGACAGTTCCTAGATATGAAATCCTATAGTGTGTGACCTTTAGTCACTGTTTTTTTTTTCATTTAGCATATTGTTTACATTTGTTTAAAACTGCCTATTTTAAAATAGATAAATTTAAAAAAATAATTACTGTGAAACAACCAACATAATCTAGTTTGTTCAGATTATGTTGCTTTGGATATTGCCAAATAAATCGGAATCGTCTAAAGTGATTCCAGCTGGTGAAATCTAAATATCTTTCTTTCCTACCATAAAAAGGTGCTCAAGATCAATAATCATCAAGGAAATTAAAATTAAACTACAATTAAGTGTCCTCTCACATCTTTTAAGATAGCTACTAAAAAAAGACAAGTGATAACAAAGTTTGTGAGGATGTGGAATAAAGAAACATTTCTTTGCTGTTGGTAATTATGTAAATTAGTTCAACCATTATGGAAAACCACATGAAAGTTCCTAAAACCAAAGATAAAATAGCACTACCATATGATTCAACAATCACATATCTGGGTATGTACTCAATGGTTTTAATACTCTTTATTTATTAAAATGATAGAAGTATAGCTGTCAATTCTTATTGAGAATAATTTTATAAATAGAAATTAACTTCCACATGTAATTGGACAAATATAGTTAATATAGAATAATGATTGAATTATGACCTACAGTTTAAAATGTATATTCTTCATGAAGAGTAAAGTTTAAAATAAAGTTAAAAATAAAAACATAGACATTTTCGTCTAATGCAACAAAACAATATAACTGATATTAGAAAATTACATGTTGTTCTTTAATTTGTTTTCATTCAACTTTTGAGAGGATTCACTGATAAATTCTGAAAAGAGATGATAACAATTTCTGTTTTTGTTTCTTGCTTGTTTTTATTCAATTCTAACCATTCTATTTTTGCCTATTTAATTAAATAAATCATACTTTAGATATTATTATGTTCTCAATATTATATTTTATGCTCAGAATTAAAATTTGAAAAAGAGAGAATTGCCTCTGAGGTGGATATATGATTTAGTGGTAGAACACTTGCCTAGAATTTATAAGCCCATGGATTACTCATATTATCATCTGATGAGGAATAATAAACAGATAATTCTAACATGAAGTAGAAGGTATAGAAGGTACTCAGGTGCAAAAATTATGTAGAAGCAGAACACAGATATCTAATCAGGTTAAGAAAGTAAAGATTCATGGGAAAAATGGCCTCTAACTTTTTCCCTATAGAATTAAAATGTGTTAGACAAATAGCAGTATATAAGGATTTGAACATAGTGTTTCATGTAGCAGTAAAACATAATGCAGTCTATAAAGCTGCATGTATGAGGCTGAAGCAAAGATAAAGCTGAAGAGATAAGCAATGACAAGCTATTGAAGGACAATGAAAACTATTAATGGAGTATGGAGTTGATCATTATAATGGCAATGAAAAAATTTAGCTGGGAGCGGTAAGAAGAGATATTTTAAATTGTTTTTTATTATCTTTAAGCAGATGTACAAATGGGTTACAAGATGCATATTGAACAGTATAACTGCTTAAGAGGAAAGTTTAATCTAAAAAATTCACTCCATAGAATATTCCTTTGCAATCTAGTAGAGAAAGAAGAAAACTAAGGTGCTCTGTGTGTGTGTGTGTGTGTGTGTGTGTGTGTGTGTGTCCTGGAGCTTGAACTAATGGGCCTGTGAGTTGTCCCTGAGCTTTGTTTTCAAGGTTAGTGCTCTACCACTTGAGCCACAGCTCACAGATTTTCCTGCCTCTTGAGCAGCTAGGATTACAGGCTGAGAGCCACTGGTGCCCAGCTTCTAAGGCATAATTTTTGAGATTATAAGCAAATGCAGAGGATAAGCTCAGAGAGTTTCCAAAGTATTAGAAGCTTCTTTAAAACACCAGTAGATACTTGAAGCTTGTTTTGATAATGATATTAGGTGCATAGAAATTTTTTGATAAATATGGGAGTAGGATGTGCCCCATTTTTTGTGCTGAGGATTAATAGCATGGCCTTCTGCATGCTAACCATAAACTTTTACCAATGAGCTATATTTCAAGAACGCTATGGTGGTACATTTTTGCAATCTCTACTTTGAAGGTGGAGAAAGGAGGATTGTAAGTTTGATGCCAGTCGTAACCACTTAGTGAGACTCCATCTCTAAAAAATAGTTGTTTCTAACACTTTTAAAACATCTTTTATAGGTATATACAATTTTTTCAAGATAAAATACAAATGCCATAAATATGTAGACTTAAATATGTTATGATTATTTGCTAATAGCAAAATGTAAAATCATTCATGATTTATGTGGTAGCAAAAACTTGTAGTGCACCTACACTTATACAGGTTGAGGACATAGTAATACATTGACTTCAAACAAAATGAAACAGGAGAGAATATCTGAAAAAAAATCCCCTCATTTGGAGCCAATTCAAGTTAGTGATGGAATTTATATTTAGCAACTATTGTATTAATTAAAGGTAGAATTGAGAACATTTCTCCATGTGATTAAATATAACTGTTGTGAAACTTTCATATAATTCAACATATATTCAGAAGTATTTCCATACTTTAAAATATCTTACCTTAAATGTTAGGAGACTTCTTGTAGAATTGGGCACTAGTATGGTTCTACTTGTTATTGTCCCTACTTGGCATTCAATAGTAATGTGTTCTAAGGCCAGGGGTCTTCTACCAATTCCATTTACATCAAATGTGTATGCCAAACCATCAATTTCATTTTGTAGAGTAAGTTTACCCTGTAGTAAAACAGCCAAAATTCAGTTCTAATGGAGTTATAGTTCAATGTCAAACATTCACCAACATAGTATTCATTATGAGTGTAAAAGAAACATGCTTCCCTCTGTACATCACCTTGACAATAAAATAAAATTAAAAAAGAAACATGCTTGTAACAAGTTAGCCATTCATTGACTTTTCCAATTCCTGTATAATTCATATGCTGAATACATTGTTGATATAAAGCTCTTCATGTGTCAAAGCTTTAAATTATAGAGTTCTCTCTAAATTCCAGTTTTTATAGGTATTCTTTTTTTAATTTTACACCATTTATGTTAAGTTTTTAAAAAGAGGTAGCCGAGTAAGAACAGCACCACGCATGTGGTATTCAGGTAAGGGGTAGGTTTTTTCATCGTTCCGGCTGGCACCAGGCCATCTTGGTCCTCCACGCGGTGGGGAAAGGCCTGGGAAAGAGACCTGGGAGAGCTGGGAAAGAGAGAGAAAAGAGCTAGAAAAGAGAGAAAAGAGCTAGAAAAAAGAGTGTCTGGGAAAGGTGGGAAAGAGAGAGCTAAGAAAGAGAAGGGAGCTGGGAAAGAGAAGAGAAGGAAAGAGCTGAGAAAGAGCTAGAAAAGAGCAGAGAGAGTATATATAGGTATTCTAATATGTAGCATTTATATATGTGCTTTCTTCCATGCCAAAGAAATTTTGTTGTAAGAAAGTATTTTCTGATGTAACTAATTTCTTAATGAAGAACAAAACATCAATGATTTTACATAATTCAGCATATTGTATAAATAATCTCAACATAACTATTCAGAGAAAATGACTTGGTGACTTTCAGAATATTTAGCTCTCAAATTTCAAACTGTATTAAGGTTTCAAGTAAAAAAAATATCAAATTAAAAAATACACATTTTCCACAAACTTTTTATCATTTGAGTAGAATAATACCATATATAGATATATTTACATAGTCATACTATAGGAACGAATCTTAGAGATCATACCATCACATCACATTCCATAATAGGTTTGAATGTGAGAGGATATGGCACAGTTTCACCTGGGTTCACATGTAAAATAGCAGGTCCACAAAACCATTTGCCCTCTATCATAGCTTGAAATCTCCATTCATTATTTGTTGTATTATGCTAGAAATAACAAAAACATACAGAATATCAGAAGAGTGAGGGCAGAGTTAAATTACATCTGAATTCTTTATTTCTTAAGACAGTGGGTGTGGTAGCAAACATTTACATTGGGTGGCCAATCTAACACGATCAAAGGATCCAGGCCAGTATGAAGCTCCATAGCAAGACTGTCACAAAAATCCAAGGAGTGGGATGTACCAAAGTGGTACAGCACTTGCCTAGTCTGTCCAACTCCTGGGTTCAATTCACTGCACCAAAAATGAAAAATACAAACATCACAACATGAAAATCGTGTTTGAAGCCTAGGGGTTTTTTGTTGTTGTTTGTTTGTTTATTTAGTTGTGGGGCTTGAATTCTGGGCCTGGGTGCTGTCCCTCAGCTCTAGCCTAGTGCTCTAGCACTTGAGCCACAGCACCACTTCCCGAAAATCCTGTTTGTTAAGAATGATTACATCACTGTGAACTAAAGGCCCAAAGATGAATGCACACATATTTCTAAGTTATGCAGAAACATTGCCTGATGGTTTTAGCCAAGAATCAGTATCTATAGGTTCACCTGTTTGACTATTGTTAAAATGGCAAATGTTCATGTAGAATATAATTTATGCCTAAAGGAAATAAAAAGGTGTTCTAATGCATAGATTTCTTAGAAAACAAACATTACATATGCTATAGAAAGAATTTTGTGTGTCATTATGACTTTCACTATATCTGCAATAATTAATCAAAAATCAATTCATTACTCTAAAAACACCAAACATAACTTTACAATTACATTAACTTCTTGCTCACTTTGTCTAATAAGTAGGCAAGCTACAGTTGTCAGTACTCTCAGTGCCTATTAACTGTCTTAGTCAAATGTTAACATCACAACAAAATTTTGAGCTCCCACAATTCTGTGTGGCAAAATCAGGAGGAAGCCTTTTTGCTTTCTTTTCTTTTCTTTCTTTTCTTTTCTTTTCTTTTCTTTTCTTTTCCTTCCTTCCTTCCTTCCTTTCCTTCCTTCCTTCCTTCCTTCCCTCCTTCCTTTCTTCTTTTTTTTTTGGTTGGTCTTGGACTTGAACTCAGGGTCTGGTCACTGTCCCTGAGATTTTACGATCAAGGCTAGTGCTCTAACACTTTGAGCTACAACACCACTTTGGAAATAAGAGTTTCATGAACTTTTCTGCCTACCTGGCACTGAACTGCAATCCTCAGATCTCAGCCTCCTGAGTAGCTAGAATTACAGGCATGAGACATGGGAACCAGGCCATAATAATTTTTAATTAGGAATCTGTCATTAACTATGGATACTTAATTTAACTTTTTAAGCAAAGCCATACTTCAGAATTGATTATTGAGTAATAGCACCTTCAAGTAGAAAATCAATTAAATCAATTAAAAATAACCAGCAACAGAATGCATTTAGAAATCTGTAGTAATTTGGGATGAGAGGTTTGGAGGACTTTGAGACAGCTGTAGTGGGTTCAGGAGTCTTAAATAGCTTTCTTGAAATTTGTTTCTTTGTAATATTTCATGATGGCTATTCTGAAAAATTGTAGACAAAATTAATTTTTTGAATAACTGATTTTGTGTGTGTGTGTGTGTGTGTGTGTGTGTGTGTGTGTGTGCGCACCAGACTTGGCCTTTGAACTCAGGGCCTGGGTGCTGTCCCTAAGGGTTTTTTGCTCAAGGCTGCTACTGTATCATGTGAGCCACAGCTTCACTCCTGTTTTTTTTTTCTTCCTAATAAATTGGAGATTAGAGTCTGTCAGACTTCACTGCCTGAGCAGGCTTCAAACCACAACCTTCATATCTCAGGCTCCAGAATAGTGAGGATTACAGGTGTTGCCACCAGTCCCTAGCATAGTTGATCTTTTGCAAAATAAATTTATACTTTTATTAGTAAACAGTGGATGTAGGCAGAGGCTTTTGTATCTAAGATTCCTCTTTCTATATAGGAAAGTACTTCTCACAGGAAGAAGAGGAAGTCTGATACATCTGAAAAGCTATCTACAATAGAAAACAAGTCTTTTCTCCTATGCAAATACTTCAACTCTTCCCAGAAGCCTATGTTGCAATATTTTTGTTTACTTTCTATATAATTTTCAACAACTTTAATTCTTCTTTGAGTCTTATACTTTGTGTATGGCTCCCCAGGTTTGTATGTTAATAAATTTTTATATATTTTCCTTATAATATGTGTACTGCCAGATTATTACCTAGACTAAAATGAGAAAAATAGCAAATTTAGAACTTTACATATTTAAGATGGGCACCAGTGGCTCACGCCTGTAATCCTAGCTACTCAGGAGCTCAGATCTGAGGACTGCGGTTCAAAGCCAGCACAGGCAGGAAAGTCCATGAGACTCTTTTCTCCAATTCACCACTAAAAAACCAGATGTGGCACTGTGGCTCAAGTGGTAGAGCACTAGCCTTAAGCTAAAGCTCTCAGGGACAGCACCCAAGCCCAGAGTTCAAGCTCACCAAAATTTACATATTTAATAAGACTATAGAAGCTGACATTAAACTTTTTTTTCAGTTCTAGAATTTTACAGGAAATATCATGAGGGGAAGTGCAAATGGCCCTCTGTCTAGATGCCCTCCCCTCCATTAACCAGGTGAAAATTTAATCTAACAGTTCAGTGAAAGACTCCACAGCTAATTTTCCATGTGAACATTTTCCAGTTTTTGTCCTTATCTTTTATAAGGACAAGGTTGGCACAGATATAGAATGGCTTAGTTTTTAGTTTTAGTCAAAGCTGTAAGTAAATTTATGTCATTTTCTCTTAATGCTGGTGAGTGTTCAGCCCCAGAACCAGTCTTTTTTTTTTCTGGTCCTGGGACTTGTCCTTCAGCCTCTTTGTACTCAAGGCTAGCACTCTACTACTTGGGCCACAATGCCACTTCCAGCTTTTTCTGAGTAGTTTATTGCAGATAAAAGTCTTATGGACTTTTCTGCCCAGTCTGGCTTCGAACCATGATCATCAGATCTCAGCCTTCTGAATAGGTAGGATTACGGGCATGATCCATTGGTACCCAGCCTAGTTTTACTTACTATTGGAATATCTTGAGTAAGTGCTTGAAATGCTGGTGTCTCAAACACAAATTCATTCTCTGCTTCTTCTTTATTTACCACACCTTCAAAGTTATAGAGGCGTATATCGTACTTGGAGGTCAACAACATTTTACAAGGGTAGCGTCCAAAAGAAAGAGGTGCAAATCTTAGGGGTATTAAAACAGATCCATCTGCAACAATCAAAATAATTTAAAAACAATTTAGTCATTTTCAATGTCATAATTCTTTTTTTCTGTATATATTTTTATTTATATTTTATTATGAAAATACTGTACAGAGGGGTTACAATTACATGGGCAAGAAAATGAGTACATTTCTTATCAAGCATTGTAGCCTCCTCCTTAGTTTCCCCTTCCCATCCCTTCCCAGCCTTCCCCCGACCCCCCTCTCAATCCTCCCCCCCCACCAAAGTTGTAAAGTTGTTTTCGACATGACAACTTGTACTTCTCATTGTTGCAACGGGTCCACCTGTATCCTTATTTAAACAACTTGTTTTTCCCCTTCCCCTCCACAAATTCTGTCGACATCAAATACAGTGAAAGCAGGGGTTATACTGTGGGGGAGGGACATACAAAGCAACAAAGAAATAATCTTATAAATGCGTTAGAAATAAATGCATGAAAGAAAAAAAACATTTAAATACATATTTTAGGGTTCATTTTCCTAACATCACCTTATCTGACCTTTTATGCTTGACTCATACATATACTAGATATTGCAAATAAGGGAAACCATGGGGCCTATGTTTCTTTGGGCTTGGCTTACTTCATGGATCAAGAAAATGTGGTATATATACACAATGGGATTCTATGCCTCCATCAGAAAGAATGACATTGCTCCATTAGTTAGGAAATGGAAAGACTTGGAAAAAATTATATTAAGTGAAGTAAGTCAATGTCATAATTCTTAAAAATTCATTTTGTCAAACAATATTTAGTATTACAGCACTAAATTTTATTGTATAATTTAGATAAATCAACATTCAACTGAGGTAATATAATAAGTTAAATCTCCAGGGTGTATCATTCAAATTTATTTAAAAATTAAGAGTACAGGGCTGGGAAGGTGGCCCAGTGTTAGAGTACTTGCATCGCTTGCATGAGACCCTGGGTTCGATTCCTCAGCAACACATAAACAGAAAAAGCCAGGAGTGGCACTGTGGCTCAAGTGGTAGAGCATTAGCCTTGAGCTGAAGAGCTGAGGGACAGTGCCCAGGCCCAGAATTCAAATTAAGAGTACCTATCTTACATGGATTGGAGGAATGTGTACTTCCTAAAGTCATTAAGGACCTCATTCTTTGAATGGTACTACTAGCATGTTGCTGCTATATTATCTGGGAAATCACTCCATGTTGGCAGAAAAGTCAGGAAAAAAGGAATGTTTGGAAGATTGTTCAAGGATTTTTCAGTGTCCAGTCTAAAATTAACATGTATTTCACTTAATTGGCCAAACCCAAGTACATGGCTTTATCTAACCAAAAAAGGCTAATAAATTAAGTGGTTATACAGAGGATTTAGTAAGCATTATGTTCTGCCACATGTCTATGACAAAGGAGTGCTCTATTCACATAGCAATCAATATAATTTTCAACTTGGCTGGAATACAGAGATGTTCATTTCCTAATGATCAGTGAGTCTGAAAGTGAATGCCAATGACATTCTTAATTATATATTTTCCAACTGATGAAGTGTTAATGGGTAAAATTCCTAAGGACTACAGGGTGAGCCCTTCTCCTTTATAAATCCAAAAGGAACGCCATCATAAAATTGGAATTCAAGAAAATGATGGTTTTCCTTTTGAAAACTTATTGATAAAATGATATCTATCTTGTAGCACTCTTGGCTCATATGCCTGTAATCCTAGCTTCTCAAAAGCCTGAGATCTAAGGATTGTGGTTCCAGGCCAGCCTGGGCAAAAAAAGTATGAGACTCTGATCCCTAAGTAAACAACAGAAACCTGGGAGTAGGAATCTGATTCCAGTGTCAGAGTGCCAATCTTAGGCAAAAAAGTCCAATTGAGAATGTGAGGTCCTGAGTTCAAAACCTAGCACTGACATATAGATAGATAGATATATAGATAGATAGATATGATACCTATTTGTCTTAAATATACAACATAATGCATTTGAAGCATGTAAGATATGTATGTATGACAAGTACTACAAATTACTTCCAGATTATAACATTTACCTGCAAATATCTATATCCCCTTAGATATTAACCATTTCCAACCTTAGAAATTGGAAGATTTACTGGTTATATTGTGTTATCAGGCCATCATTTTCTTATAAGGAGATCACTCAGTCTTTTCCAATTCTTCAATATAATCCATGTACTACCCCAGATAGTTTCTCTTTGTAGTGTCTCATTCTCCTACCTACGTCTCCCCAAGATTACATTTTAAACTATTTGCTCTTATGACCTGCTCTCAGGGTCTGCTATTGTTTATAAATACTGGTAAGTGTAGAAAAGAGAGTTTCCTTTGGGCTACATGATTTCCAGCTTCTTACTCTAAATCTCTGTGGGCATTACACCTGCCTGTAAAAGGAGTACATAGGCTCGATGGTATAAGCTCATGTAACTCCTAGACCCATTATATCCCAGGTCGACATAACTAGAAAATGATTTGAATTATAGGGTAATTAATTGGTGTCTATTGGAAAAAAGGTGTGAAGTAAGATTTGTGTACAAGCTGAATAGTACACATTCTTAAAATGAAAATGATTACAGTTCATGTTACAGTTGAAGAAGGGAAGAAATCCATCTACTCTGTGTTGTCATTTTGTAACTCTGGTAAGTCCAAGAAATCTAAATTAAATTATGATCTTCCAGGTTAGCATAAATTCTACTTGTCAAGGGGTAATAATAAAATGTATTCTATTTTAAGGTGGGTGAGTTTATTTGAAGCTTATAAAATTTAGATGTGGGCTTCTGTTGGTACTTATGAGCTCTGAAAAATTACTAAAGTTGGGGACAATTTTGACCTGCTCTTTCATTCCTATCCTACTTAGATATACTTCTCCTGGTGTCTTTGCTTCTCTTTTCCATTTTATTTTCCTTTTTGTCAATGAGAGAGCCAGATGGGAGAGATGGGAATTAATAGGAGCAATCAACACTGATTGAGCACCTAACTAGATGAGTACTTTCCAATATTCCAATTTTATGCCCACATCCACCTTGAAAGGTTAAACATTTACAAGTAACCTGTTCAAAGAGGTTAACTAAATTACTCTAGGTCGTATAATTTGGATGGACTATAATGTATAGTTAAAGCCAGGCTTGTAAAATGGCCTAAAGAAACAAGGAAGTTTTTCCTTCTTCAGTGCTGGGGATTGAAACCAGTGCCTCATATAAATTAGGCAGAAGCTCTAGCATTGTCCACACCTTGCTGCATTTTCTTTTCAGGTAGTTTTCACAACTGTAGAAGTTGTTAGTATTCTATTGTAACTAAAGACAACCAAATACAAATAAATCCACCAGATTATAGTTACTGAATCAAAGTAAAATAAAATAACTCTTGAATGAAATGAAATTATAGGTAACTGTGGTCATTGAAAGAATCTGTGTGATTCATAATTCCTCAAATAATTAATGAAAAAAATGATATACAGATCTTAGAGTGAGTCTGGTTGACACAATAAGTTTATACGGGTGTATTGGCCAGCTATTATTGCATAATCACCCCCCAATGTTAGTGTTTGTAGCAATAATCACTTATTTTTTCATGATTCCATAACCTGGATTCATTTGGGAACCTTGCCAAAGGCTGTGGTTTGAAATTTTGGCTTGGAATTCTGTCCCATAGGATCCCTAATCTTCTGAGATGCACTCATTCTTTTTCATATTAGTATCAAAATATACAAGTAACAAAATAAGAAATACTTTAATGTAAAATTATTATCAAATATGTGCTTCCTTCACATTACATAGCCAAACCTAGAGTCAGTGAAGGAGGGGAGATTACAGAAAAATATATACAGGCAGAGGTAATCCATTTAAACTTTTACTATAACAGCTTGCCATGCCTTAGCAAAGGAAAGCTTTTCTGTAAAATATTTGCTGCTGTAAAAATGACAAAATCAACTAGTAATTAAAAAGCGTGTTGCTAGTTTAAAAAACAGAAAGTCTTTTTTTTTTCTGAAATCAAGTTCTTAGCTGTTTAAATTAAACGAATAGATTTTTTTCTTTTGGTAATACTACAAACAATATCTAAGAGAGAATCTTAACATGCAAAACAGAAGAAGCTAGTACTGATCTGGTTGAAGTAAGAGAAAGTTCCAAGCTGACATTGACTCCTGTGGTCTCTCTACAGACAAATTAAAGCTATTGAGAATAAAAGGATTGCTAAAAATCTAAATTAATTAGAGCATACAACTTGACTAACAAATCCATTTTTCTGCTTAATTTTCCATGATTATTTGTAAACTTATCAAACATGGAAGAGATTATCTCCAGAAATGTCTAAAGTATTATAATATTTAAGGATGAAAAGGAAGACTGATGGGAAAGAGGGAGGGAAGAAAGTTAAAAGGCAAAAAGAAGAATGGAAGAAGGAAGGGCAATAAAAATAAGGAGGGAATTAGGAATGTGTGAATGGAAACAAAGTATTTGAAATCCAGATAGAATACTGTGTAGACAACCTTTTCAAACTGTCATACTCCAAATGATTGAGAGCATGGAATTCCTTTCCTATGAAGTATGTAAATATCTGCAAGGAAAATGGATATCCAGTTTCCTGTCTGATTTTACTGAGAAGTACTCACTATTTATTCTTCCTGATATCTTAAAGCATGTGGGCAAAAAAGACTACAAGGAGATATCTAAGTGCTATAACAAATAAACTGCAAGGATTATCAATTATTTCTCTAAAAGCCAAGTTCAGTTTACTAGGTATAGAAAAGTATAATCTTATTATATGTGCTGTTCAAATATAGTATGGCCTTATTAATTGCCTATCTTTGATATTGATCAAATATTGAGAGAGTCATATAAATCTTCCAGTATAAATGAAAATTTATTTCTCCTTTTATATATTTTCAGAATATGTGACCAGATGAAACCAAGTTGAAAATTTTTTAAGCTTTTCCTTTTTAGTTATTTGCTTTAAACATCTATAAATTCTAATAATGAAACTTATTCCACATATTTTTATTAGAAAATATCTGAATAAGTTTTTGGGTATTTTAAAATTCAATCAAAAATACTATAAAGCACCATTTTACTTGGCAATGAAAAAATTCAGTTGTTACAGTTTAATTCATCTGTAATTATTGTGATTAGTGATAAAGCTGATAATAAGATACTTTGTTCCTTTTCAAATTGTTCTTTCAAACTTGCCTTTGGTTTCCTTTACCCTTGTCAAGTATTCTGAATTTTAAAGAAAAGCTGCACCCATATGATTAAGGTATTAAGTCCTGGAGTCAGCTACTCCAGGAAAAAGAAATGCAGTAATTTTTCTTTAGATTTACAGGGCCCAAAACATCTGGTGACCTTCAGATTAATATCAGAATATATATCAAAGAAATGGACCACTGCAGGATTAATGATTACTCTATTATCTTCACTGCATTCCCAGTGGCTCAAAATACACTTCCTTAAACTGTAAATGAAGATAACAAAGTGGAACTCACAGAAAGCTCCTGAATAGTAGGGAGTAGTAGGGATGGGAAAAGTGAGAGTAAATGAAGGGGTCAGTCAGATTAAAATACTGTATATAAATGTGTGAAATACCACAGGGAATCTCTTTGAAAAATTAGCATACAATAAAAAATGAATGACAGGAATGTAAAACAGGTCCTGAGAGGAATGGGGTACTAGTGAGAATGGAGTGGACTAATGGAAACAATGAAGGAAAGTGAATATCATTAAAATACTATACTTGGCAAAATGAGAACAATGAAGCTTGTTGAGATTGGTGGCGAATAAAAAGAGGAGAAGGGAGAGTAATGGAAGAGAAATGAATATGACAATTGCACATCAGCTACCTTGTCAGAGTAAAAATGATTTCACTACCACTTTTTGACTCTCAGTTAATTGACTTTTGTCAATTACATGGTAGCAATATATTGATGTTTATTTTTAATATTTCATTTTGTGCCTTTCTTTATCACATACATCATTTACTACATTTCCTCCATTCTTTACTACATCTTTAGTTCTTTGTCCCCATATTTTATTGGATTCAACAAGTTTCTTTTATGCCTAAACCTATGTAGAAATTATGCATTCTACAGAGTTTTTGGTTGCCTGAAGTTTTCAACATTTATACTACATGTAAAATTATTGCTACATGTAAAATTACAGCTTAATCTGTAACTTTGCATTGATGCCCAAATTCTACACTTTTTAACCTCCAAAGTTATTGGTAATTCTGCCTTCATTCTCGTTAATTAACCAACTCTACTCTCATCAAAAGCATACACCTTGGGTGGTTCCCACCACTGCCACCATCACCAGCACAACACATCGATGTTCAAGATTCTATACATTCTTTTTTTTTTGGGGGGGGGGGTCCGGTGGTGGGGCTTGAACTCTGGGCCTGGGCGCTGTCCCTCAGCTCTTCGGCTCAAGGCTAGCGCTCTACCACTTGAGCCACAGCGCCACTTCCGGTACTGAGGAATCGAATCCAGGGCCTCAGGCATGCAAGGAAAGCGCTCTACTACTGAGCCACCTTCCCAGCCCCAAGATTCTATACATTCTTGAAAGGATAATGGTCCTCTACATTTTCTCCTGCAGTTGCCATTGTTTAAACTCCAGAAGCTTGTTTTTTTTTTCCAGAAAATATGCCATAGAATAGGACTATCAGAAAACCAGAACAATATGCAAAACAAGACGGATTAGCTCAAGTGGTTCACATACATTCACTCATTAGAAAAATAATTTTGAACTCCTACTGCATGACAGGATATATGCAACAAAGAGGCTTTTTAGTAGGTGTAAATAACAAGTTCCTGAGGAAAAAGCAGATCATGTAAGCAGAGTTCTCTTTACAACCAAAGTATGTTTTAATTGGGCTGGAACCTGAAGAGGCCATTAAATGTGCTTTTCAATCTGGCCACATCAGCTCAGTAATTAGTGAAAATTTCTCATAGGATTCATGTAAATGGCTAGCTGTTATCTTGCTTTTCCATTGCTGTTTAATTTTTGAATTTCTGTATGTCTTCATGGATCATTTAATGGAAAATTAAGAGAAGGCTAATCAAGAAGTCTTAGCTTGCCAACATTTTAACTAGAAAGTTGTCTTTTTCATATATAATTTGCTTAAGAAGGCAAAATTTCCCAAAGAAAACAATTGAAAATAAAATTTCACTTTTTAATTAACCCCTCCATGGGGAAGGAAGGAAGATATTGTTGACAGTCAATTAATTTTGTGTTTTGTATTTTCATTTCAGGATACCATATATTTTCTCTAATTGTCATGTTAAAAAAAACGTTTTGGCCATAGCTAATTTTAAGGTTTTCTTTCCAGATTGATTTACTAACTGTGCAAATTAATTTGAATGAGCAACTAGCAAGCCAATGCACAGCATGTTCTCCAGGACTTAAACTAGGATAAATGGCTACAAAATTCCTCATTAAAAGCCTCTCTAAATATAGTACTGCAGAATGTATGTTCACCATTGGAGACCTAATAGAATGAGAAACTTTTTATAAAGTTCATAGTTTTTTTTAACTTATGGACCCTAATAAAATAAAAGAGTTATCACCAAACTGAAAACATACTAAAAATATAACAATAGAATATATGTAGTCTTATGTTGATTTGGTTATATTTAGTTATTTGACTTATAGTATTTCTTTTCAGTGATATGGAGCACAATTGTGTCTCATTGTTATATGAGAAGTAGAAGGAAAGACACTGAAGTGAACAGAAAATGCAAATCTTAGTACAAGGCATAGACTGTGTAAGGGGAGAGATGTTGAAATTTAGAGAATTATATTCCAAAAATATGAAAACTTGTAGCATTATAAACATTGTTTCTTCTACCCCGAGGCAAAGAAAAAGCTATCTGGAATTTTGCTTATCTACATTGAGAGCAGATTGCAAAAGAAATACATGTTTCTTAAGATGGAGTCCAACAGTAATATTTTTCCAGTTTAAAAAATCTTTATATGTACCTAATTTATATATTGGTTGTTTACAGTATTTGAATTTGCCTCCCAAAATATCAATCACATTTGGGCACAGTTATACATTCACATATATTTACAGTACAGCTGAGGTTCCATTAATGATCTCATAGCCTCTATATTTTAGGATTTCTATATTTCAACTATATAAATAATTCACGGTAAGTATGAATGGGTATAAATAGAATTGCAAAAGGTTGGTAAACTTAGAATTTTATGTAAAATTATGCAATGCTATCTTCAGTTGTAAGTTAATAGTTAAATTTCAAAAGCATGTATATCATTGATATACCTTTTATGTTCTTAAAATGATTCTTGTGATCTTCATCTTTAGATAACTGACTAAACAGAGCCATTTATGTGCTCTATATCATCCTACAAAAATAATGGAAAATTCTGCCTTTCAGAAATATCAAAAGTAATTTACCTCTTAGAAAATAATACTGGTAGCTTGGGACTGACCCTTCACTCTTATAATTCTACCTAATTCAGGAGGCTGAAATCTGTGTATGAAAATAGCCCATATGCATGAAAATACCCCATTGAACTTCTATAATATTCATTCCTACCACTATCTTCTTCCTTCTCCTCCTACCTACTGACTTCCCTCTGCCAATAATACTCTTTTCACAATGATGTATTATTTTTAGATATAGATTTCATGGTTTTTTTGTTTTTTATATTTGAATATTTTAAAAGGACATCTATATTTCCACATAGTCTATTATTACCGTAGATAAGACCTAATTTTTAAACTCTTGTTACCTGCATGGAGATGTGTTATTTTCTTCTGGTCATCCTCATTTCCTAGAAAGATAAAGAGAACAGATTTTCCTTCAATTTAGAAGTTGTGACCACTCTTTCTGACTTAGAAACATTGCACAATGACTATAAATTCACAGAACAAACAAAATTTTAATAAAAGTAAATGTATGCAAAATATCATTTGTAATTCATACCACTGGAATTATGGTACATTCTTTGAACAGTTCTGCTGAAAAAAATTACATTCTTGTTGTTGTCTAGTGTTTAAAGGAACTCAAATGAAAAAGACAATTTTAAATAAATAATATTTAGTATCTTTTTATATCTGATAACTTGTATTTGATAATATCAATGTATCAGTATTTGCATTAACCCTGGCTAATGTTTTCTTGCTCATGGCAAGAGAATAGAGAGGCACAGGAGACCAAGAGCAAAATATATAAGTGATAAAGAACTTGGTTCATGTAGAAGATAAACAACACATAAATACACATGGTTGCTTTCTTAACATAAATAATGACAGATATTCCAATTAACATGTTGCTGGTTACCTTTTATGGTAATAGCCTTGGTTTCCTGAAATTCAGTTGGTTTACTAGGTTGTATTTCTGGGATCTGTGGTATGAAGATAATCCTAGGAACATGAAAATATTCTGGAAGGCTTAGTTGTGCTAAATACGGAATAGCCTTAGGCTTCTTCAGCTTTGACAAATTGAAGAGCATAAGACACTGCAAATAATTGGTAAAGTTGAATATAGTCCTCTGTACTTTTACCTTCAAATCAGAGCTAAACATTATGTGCTTAATAAGTTGAGGCAAAATACATTAAAAGATTAGTTTACCTGTTTAAAAACATAGATAATTAGTATTGGACAGTTAGGTAACTAGTACTGGGCAGTATTAACACATTTCACAGAAACAACAGTCTTTTATTGAGAGATAGTCAACAATCAACTATTCTAATGTTTTCAGTATAATTAACTAATTACCTCGGAAGGAACCATTCTACTATTGAATAGCACTGAAAATTCTTTTCCTTCTTGTATCTTTTTGTTTTTATTTACTTATTTTTTGAGAAAAGTTTTCACCCTATCCCCCTGCTACAAATTTCCAATTGCTGGGATGACAGGAATGAGTCACCACACACCACACTCAGTTCATATATTGTTCTTATTACAGATAAAAACTGAGCATTCCCTGTTCACCAATGTTGAATTTATAAATATAGAATAATTAAATCTTCCCACTTTACAGATGTATTATGCTTAGGTTTGATATTTTTTATTCTTTCAATCATTATTCACTAAATGTAGACTATAACAACTTTTACATGCATATACTCCTCTAGACACAAAACAGTCCTTCTAAAAATATTACAGTGAAGATAAATCCTAGTCCTACAATACAAATGAAGCAGGTTACAAGTGATATTTTAAATCTAGTTTTTAAAGTGACAGGATACATAAGGTGTCAAAGGAAAAGACAAAATACCATAAGAAAATTTTTTTCTACTCTAGGTATTCACAATCTGACAAGAGAAATAGGCTAGTGCAAAAGTAAATCTCCTATAAAACCCATGTTAAATGCAATGATAAATGCAAGTATACTGGATTCTAGGAAGAAATCTAAAAGGAGAAAGAGAATGTCATGGACCAAACCCACCTCCCTCAATGATTCTGTATTTAAGTAAAATTTGGGGGGGAGGAGGAAAAATATAAAAACAAATATAAAAAGGATAAAGAAAGCATGGTGATGTACTGAAAGTTTCAAATGTCTGCTTATTGAAAATTTTTATTGTTTACTGAACAGTTAAATATAAACCTTCTCAAATATACTGTTCTATAATAGAAGTAAGTTGTGATTCTTTGAAGGGAATCATCAGCTTCTTGGAAATGTAGTAGAGATCTTAATTAAGAGCATATCAAACATTGTTGCCCCTCCACATTGTTGTTCCTCTACTGAACCGCCTAGAATCTACAAACCCAGGCTGAGAAAAAACACCAGTCCTAGCTCTTACTTCTATTTCTAATAGTTATGTGCTAAAAATGTGTTTTGGCTTTAGAAAGGGATGGATGAGAGGACAGATCTGAGATGGATCTGGGTAGAAGCATAGGGTAGAACCTTTGCAAGGGCAGAACACAAACCTCACCCCAATGTTTGACACAAAATTTACTACCTTACATATATAGCTGTAACCCCTTGAATTAAATGAAATTAAATTCAAAAATGACAGTGAAATTAAATTTAAAAAGAGCACATGAAAGTTTCTGGCTTTAATATTTTAAATGAATTGGAACTTAAAAATTTAGCTTATCTTTGAAATAAGTTGGTGGGAGTCTGTGATTAGTCTGTGTTAATTGTAGTATCCTAACAAAAGAAAAATTCGTGATAAGTCAAATATTTTTGTGATATATATATATATATATGAAGATAACCCTTAAAGAACAAGCATAAAACTTCATATAAAATGTACATAAATTAGAGTGCAAAACATCCTTCAAGAATATTTTAACAGAGATCTGTAGTAATTAAAGGAACCATCATTGTGTTTCTCAAATAAATATAGCAGAATAAGTTCAAAAGTGATGAAGAATATGCCTCAGCTATTTGGAGAAAAGGAGGTCTATGCTGCCTGAGGTGGGGTTCTATATGAAACTGGCTTCCAGTCAAAGGCTTGACACTAGTAAACTAGATGAACTAGCCATGAAAGTCATGTAGACCATCCTGAAGATTATATGTGACAGAAACTGGAAAGTCAGTACACCAACATGAGCACTTTTCCCTTTTAAGGAAATGCTTTCCCTGCTCAGTGAGAACAGATTGTACCTATTTCAAGCTATAATAATAGAGTTTATAGTAGCAGTAGTAGTAGTAGTAGTAGTAGTAGTGGTGGTGGTGGTGGTAGTAGTGGTAGTAGTAATAGTAGTAAAAATAATCATAATAGTAGTCATAAATGGAACAATTATACATAGTAGTTATAGACGATAAGCATTTTATATAATTATTTCATTTTCAAAATTTATACTGTTATATTAAAAGATAAATGGGAGATGAAGAAATTTAAGTAACTAAACCAGAACAATATTGTTGGACAGTGTTAGAGTCTGGATTCTCAGTCTGTCAATCTGACAGCAGACTTGATTCTGTTTGGATTGTATAGCAAAAATATCCTGGAAAACTTGTAGAAATCTCTTTTGTAGAAATATAAATTTAATTGTTCTGGAATGGTGCCTAGGTACTGGTGTTACTTTAAATTCTTCAGAGTATTGTAATATCCAACTAAAATTGTGATTTCTGTGACTTAAATGCTGATTTCTACTGTGTAAAATTATGCAAAATTATTGTTTCAGAAGTTATTATTTAATGAGATTTCACAAAGACTAATGAGGTGACTTTCTGGGGAAAAAGAATTTCATTCTTCTATGTGAAAATGTTATCATTCAGTAATAATAGCACCGTATGTTTATGACTAATTGAAGTACAACATCTGTGATTATTCCTACCTCAACTTTGGTCAGTCCTAAGAGGGCGATGGCTACACGGACACTACTGCTTTGTAGCGTGCCTGTGATCACTCTTCGTTCGTATTCAAGAGTAGACATCTGCTGTCTTGCTGCAAAAGCCAAAGCCCTTTCCTTAGCTTCATTTGTCAGTGGTAATTTAAGGTTCACATCTAGGACTTCATTGGATTTACATTTCAAATACAGAATATTACTCTCAGCATATTCTAGGGAAAGCAAAATAGTCATAAACAATATAATTGACATTGTTATCCAAGAAGGACTAAGAAGTCTGAAATATATAGATGCAGCTATTGTATTTATTAAACAGAATAAATATAAGCAGATGATAAATTTCTATTATTACCTATTCAATGTCTCAAGAGTAAATCTTCTGTAATTAAAATATTTTATTGACATTCAAACAGAGGTGGTCAAGTGGCTCTTCCATTTAAAAAATTAATCAACATTATTACAAAAAGTATTTTGTGTGCTTTTGTCTGTATTAAGAACATAGTAGAAGGGTGTGGTGAATTCTTCAATAAAATATCACACAGTGAAACCAAAGGAGGATATTCTTAAGAGAGGATCATAACTCATGTGGTGGTTAATTCTTCAATAAAATATCACATAGTGAGACTAAAGGAGAGGATCATAAAATCTCAATAGCTATGCACATATGATCATATAAAATGATATTTATCAAAATGAACTCCAGGAAATGGAAATGAGTTTTTTTCTTTGTTTTTATTTTCTGTAACTTTTGTCTTGTTTATAAGTTTATCTGTTTTGGAGATGGAAAGGGGGGCATAGAAATGGAGGTATACAGGATGAATGAATGCAGTAGTGATACTCACTAGATACTATGTTGAAAAATAAACTCTACAACTTGTGGAGGAGAAGGGACGGAAGGGAAAACCTGGGAGAGAAGCAAGAGAAGGGGTGGCATTGTTCCAAAAGAAATATACTCTTTATCTGGCTTATGTAACTGTAGCCCATCTGTATATCTCCTTTACAGTAACAATTTTTAAAGGGGATTATGTATACACAACCTAAAATTAAGAAAAGTAAGTGAAGGGATAAGTTGGGAGAGTTGGGTGAGAATGTTGAAAGGGGTAACACTGATCATGATTCACTGTATTCATAAGTAATTTGGTGAACAGCAACTCCTTTGTACAACTACTTAAAGATAATAAAAGTATTCAAGAAAATGTTGGAGAAACAGAAATAAACACAAAAAAGATAACTACCAATGAGTGGCAAGAAACGCCATTTGCTTTTAATAGCAACCTTATATCTAAATGCTTACTTGTTTCAGGAATAATAACCAAGAATTAAGACAGCAAGGTAGAATTCTAGGTTATATAACAATATGGATTATTCAGAACATAGTAATATCCTAACTGCATGAGAAATGGATATTGTGCTGAGCAATATTTTATAGGCCAATTTCCAAACTTTATCTAGTCTTAAAAGGAAATTTTAAAAAGAAATACATTTTATAGATAAGAGTACAATACAGTTAAAGGGGGCTTCCAAATCTAGTTATATAGTGGAGGAACTTTCTTTGAGAATTCATGCCATTCTTTAAAGAATATCATCTGTTTTAAAATTGCAAATTAAATAAAACATGTGTATATACCTTCATCTGGAGAACTACTGTAATCAATAGGACCAGGTGGTTTCATTGGAAGAAAACTGGATGGCAAGGGGATCAAACCTTTTCCTTCTACAAGGTATATTAATTCTCCAATCTAAAATATAAGCATACAATAATACAGAAATTTAAGAGGCCATAATATATGCTACATGTTGTAAGGGAAATATTTATCCTGTAAGTCCTTTTCATGCTTTCTTTTCTGAGAAACATAGCCTCTAAATAGGTGTATGATATTAAAGCTTCAATATACCTCTACCACAGTGTATATCATACTTCTACCACAGTGTATATCAGAATGGATTTGGATAGACATTCAACTACTTGAAAATCAAAATGAAACAAACCTAGCTTTGAAGCTGGAATTACAGTATCCTATAATGTTAACAAATATTACCTGCCTGATTGAAGCCCCAGCACTGGCACGCACACACACACACACACACACACACACACACACACACACACACACACACAATCATGAAATCTGAGATCAAAATAAAATTAAGTTTTCAGTGGTAAGTCAAATGAAGAACAAATTCACTATTTTAACACAGAGATTATGTGTTCACTTTTAATGTGTAATTTTCCCATCCTATTTACCTAAATATGTTGATTTACTCAAATAACAGTAAATATAAAATTAATATCAATGAGTATAGAGTAACTATAATTACACACTGAAACTAGTGTGCCTGAATGGAACCAGAACTACTATTTGACTATCCTATAAAAACAAAAATGACTCGAGAGTTTATGTAAGACCAGTAAACTGCTTTTTGCCAGAATATTTCCCTCAAGGATAAATTATGAACAGCGTTCCAGTCACTAGACAAAAAATATGAGGAAAATTTAATTCTCTCTCCATATATATGTGTGTGTATATGTATATATATATACATATATATACATATACACACACACTGTGTATATATATACATATATATGTATATATATACACACACACATATATTTGTGTGTGTGTGTGTGTGTGTGTGTGTGGATGGGTGTGTGTGTGTGTGTGTCAGTTCTGGGGCTTGAACTCAGGACCTGAGTGAGCACTGTTCTTGAGGGGTTTTTTTTGTGGTGGTTGTTTTGGTTTTACCCATCATGGTGTTGAACTCTGGGCCAGGTTCTGTTCTTTAATATTTTGATTAAGGCTACTGCTCTACCACTTGAACCACAGCACCACTTCGAGCTTTTTCTGAGTAGTTTATTGAAGATAAGAGTCTCACCAACTTTCCTGCCTGGACTCACTTTGAACTGCAATCCTTAGATCTCAGCCTCCTGAGCACCTAGGATTATAGGAATGAGCCACAGGTACCTGGCTTGTTCTTGAGATTTTGCCCAAAGCTAGCACTCTACCTCTTAAGTCATAGCTCTGCCTCCAGTTTTTTGGTGGTTAATTGGAGATAAGAGTCTCCAGACTTTTCTGTGTTGGCTGTCTTTGGGCTGCAATCCTGAGAACTTAGCCTTCTGAATAGCAAATATTATAAGCATGAGCCACCAGCTTAATCCTGTATTTTATACACATATATTATCTTTTAAAAATTATTTATATTATCTTTCAAAAATTATTTTGTTGGGCTGGGAAGGTGGTTCAGTGGTAGAGTGCTTGCCTTGCATGCCTGAGGCCCTGGGTTCGATTCCTCAGCACCACATAAGCAAAAAGAAAAAAGTCGGAAGTGGCACTATGGCTCAAGTGATAGAGCTGCTAGCCTTGAGCTGAAGAGCTAAGGGACAGCGCCCAGGCCCAGAGTTCAAGCCCCACGACTGGACCCCCCCAAAAATATTTTGTTGAATTTGTTCTTTTTCAATATTTAAATTAATTTCAAATGTTTTGATTATAATTTTAATATTTAATTTTGATATTAAAATAAATTGTATTAATTTAAATTATTTAAATAATTTTAAATTAAATTTAGTATTTAAGTAAAATTTCTATTTGAAAACACATACTATAACTGAAAATATTATGTATTGGAGTCAGAAAATGTATTGGAGTTCAGAAAATTGTAATCCAATGTAGTGTCATTACTTCCTTCCATGTCTCTTGGAATAAAATTAGTCCAGGCAAAGAACATTAATACTCCAAAAAAGACTTAGGTATAGAAATCCCAAATCTAGATACTGTGTTAAGAAAAAGAAAATTGGGCTGGGATGTAGCTCAGTGGCAAAGCGCTTGCCTAGCAAGCGCAACGTCCTGGGTTCAATCCCCAGTACCAAAAACGAAAAGACAAAAAAAAAAGAAAAAGGAAATTATCTGACACTTAACAGAAAGTTGTCCCTTGTTCTAATAGTTACATGTGCAAGTTACATCTGCTCTTGATTACATATCTTCAGTTGGCATACTTAGCTGAAATTCTACTGTATTTTTTAGAAAAATGCCAAATTCCATTTGCAATTCTAAGAAATCCTCATAGAAGATATTTATTTCTCTTCTGTATTCTGTTACATGTAGTCCTCAAAATAGCAGTTACATGCAACTTTACAGAAGACCAGCTGTTAATTACTGGGAAAGGGGGACACAACACTGACTTTCAGGAAAGTTTGGATCTTGGCTCTTTTATTAATTAGCTGGGTAATCTTGGCTAAGTTATGGATGTCTTCCAAATACAAATAAACTCAATTTTAATAAAAGTAAAAGAGACATAAAAGCACTGACCTAGGCAGAAATATCTTCATTGTTTTCATAAGCCTTAACCTCTGTTTATTATATTATCTTGGTTTCAAGTATTACTAGTTTTTATAACTAATTTGTTTCAAATAGTTGAGTGATACATTACTTTTATGGTTACACAGGCAAATAGGAGATAAGCAAAATGTCTAAAATGTTAGAATTTTAAATTACATATACTAAAGAATAATAATCAATCATTGTAAGTGACTATATGGCTTTGCCATAATTCTAATGTTAACTTGACCTGTAAGAACAATCATTGTCATTTGAAAATGATGTTCTTACAGAATAATGTAAGAAATAAATTAAGTCAGATAAACGAGCTAACGGCAACAATGAAGAGAGATTAAAACCTACAAAAAATTCTATGCCTGCAATGTAAAGGTTAAATTCACAAAAACAAATAAAAATGTTTTTGTTTATACATGGAAGTGGCCTTACTACTTGACAGTTCTGAACAGGTAGGTCTTACTTACAAAGAAATCTTCACATATTTACTAAGAGCAGGAGCTAACTAGGTGGGCTGGATATTTGATTTCTAGTTAAGCATGTAATTGCATTTTGATGAAATATGTAAATTAATAGATGCTTTTCCAATGAGCAATTGTAACTTAATGCACTCTTTTAAACTAGGGCATTACTTCCCAACAGGAAGATAATTCCAAATTTGTTATTTATCTTAATGTTTTTTTCTGATAAGGACAAAACTAAATAAAGATACATCAATATGTGTAATTTTATTTTTATTTATTTAGATTAAATTAATGCTAATATATTCTAATAGCCTATTTCAAAGAATAAAATCAACCTATCCACTGTAATATTGACCATTCATTCCATTTTTTTCTAAAGTTATACTACAGTTAATTTTAAAAAGAGATTTTGAAACATTTGATCAAACTACTGACAACGAATAATAACTATTCAGCCGTAACAAAATTTACACATTATCAGTGGTACTCTTGATATTCCTGATAGTAAAGTCTTTGCCATCCAATGTGAGGACTAAAATTACATACATTTTATAGTCTCCAGCTCTTTTCAAGTAGCCTGTAATGCTTTTAGGAAGTACCCCAGTATGGAAGTGCAGATCCAGATTCGGTCTTACCTCTTTATTACTTAAGATGATAGCGCAGTAACGTATGTGCATGTTAAAGGGAACGTAGTATAGCTCAAAGGTTGAAGATCCTTTCCCTTCCAAATGTACGCTATTATATGAGCAGAAGAATTCTCGTATATAAGTGGAGTTAATAGCTATCAAAATAAGACACAGATATTTGGTATGTAATAAATACTATTCAAAGGGGCTATTTCCACTAGTGATTAACATTTGGGGATCTATAAAAATGTTGAAGGCAAAGAAACATAAAAGTGTAAAACAAAAGTATGCCCCTCCAAGCTTTGTATAACAAAAATGTGCAATATTACCTTCTATTAAAGATTCCTTAACAAAGCATTTTGTTAGAAAGAGAATGTCACTATTGTTTAAATTATGTATACTTATTAGAAGACTTGCCCATAAATCTCCAAAATTTTGTGGACTCTGTAATTGTCTAATTACAAAATATAACAGATAATTTGAACTGAAAATGACTGCTTTTCATATTCATTACTACTGTTTAGTATACACAAATCGATACATTTATATATATATATATATATACACGTGGAACACATGAATACATTTTTGATATGGCCTTGAGTATAGTAGTAGGGCAGGCCAGCTGAGTGACTTCATCCTAACAACTAGTGTTGTGGAATGCAGCAGAACAGCAGGGATGTGATTTCTGATATCAAATCTGAAAATGTTACTGAATTAAAGTATCAATTCTCTTCAGGTGCTTTAGAATACAGCTGTGCTATAAGAATCCTAGTCACATGAAAAGGCTCCCAGCTGAAATCCCAAGGAAGAGGTAGAATTAACTACCAGACCATGTGACATGACTCAAGCTGACAGCAACTTTAGGAGAGACCTTGAGGTAGCTATCTACCTGACCTCAGTTTTCCCAGCAATTCAAGAGAAAATAACTATAACTGAATTCATTTGTTTGATACCAGGACATTCTAGGCTGTCTTTTAGCTTTTATTTATTTTCCTATCTGACATTCTACCATCTTGTCTAGACCTACAGTTATTTCATAAAAAAGTAAACATGTCTTCCTTTAAAATTGAAAACTATTGATAGTTGGGATTTAAATAGATTTAAGTAGGATTTGAAGAGAGAAATCACATCCCCTGTAGGTTGGAGGACACTTTCAGTGGGGTGAAGGGGAAGGTATCATCAGAGTCTTCTGAAGGAGGGCAATACTGCAGCCTCCTGTCCAACCAACCATCCCCAAGACTTACCATTTTATATTATGTTTTTCTCATTAAAATAAGTCAGGAACAAGTACAAAGTTTAACTTGGAGTACTCACAGGTTTTGAAGCCATTTCCAGAATGGGAATAGCCCCTATGGATATCATATGCATTGCCACTCATACAACCACTGTCACAGAAAAGAAGAAAGTGATATCAACAGTACTCACCAAAAAACTCAAAACAACTGACTGAATTAAATCTTACAGAATCATGAAAAAGATGTCTGTCTACAATTTGGCATGTTAAAAATAAATGTTTCAAGTTCATGTGTGTTGTGCATCTGTGTCTGTGTCTGTGTATGCATATGTTTGCAAGCAAGTACCAGTTCTTGAGTTGAAGGCTTTTTGCTGTTACTCAGAGTTTTGCACATGACTGACCATTCCACCACTTGAGTTAGGCCTCTAGTCTAGTTTTTTTGACTGCTAATTGTGAATAGACTTTTCTGCCTGGGTTGGCTTCAAATCTTGATCCTCAGATCTCAGCTTTCTATGTAGCTAAGATTGTGAGTGTGAGCTACCAGCACCTGACCTTCAAATATGATGATATTTATGTTATTTTAAAAATTCAAAATTACAAAACTACAAAAATATTTCAAATTTCCAACACTATTTTTTATAAAATAGAGATAAAAATTCAATTTTTACCTTAAAATACTGTCAAAATGTACTTATTATTATGATATTTGTACATTTTGACAGTAAAGTAGAAACTCAAAAATTAAGAGCTCTCGGTTTAAGACTAAACAAACACTCTCATCAAAAGAGTTTCTAGAACCTTTTCCTTGACAAAATTCTCTTTTCTGCTTATTATTTTCACATTTTCTTCTGTTTTAAAAAGTAAAGGGGACACTAACAGTTTTAATATCTTGGAGTGGAGTTTTGGTGGTATACTGTAGCAAATTAAAGCCTCAAGCAATTGCTTCACTGACAGGTTCCAGTTCTTTCAGAACCCACCAATTCTTTCACAGAGCAATCACTGAAGAAATCAAACATTTTATAATAGATAAAATACTTAAAATTTCCCAAACATTAACATAAATGTAATACTCTTTCAGAAAATGAATCATATTCATTTTAATCACAGCAGGATCAGCACAAGAGTAATGATGGTTTCTGATGACTTTGACATTGGGATTTGTATGCAATCAAAATTACTAAATTTTCTCCTGATTTTGTTTTTTGCATTTAAAATATGACATTGACACTACTGAGTATCATATAAAAATGAATAAATTAATAAAGTACAAAAATATAATAGTAATAATAAAAATATTCATGTTTTTCACTAGTAGAGACCGACATCATCTTTTTCCTTCCTTTCTTTGAACTTTGAAATAGTTTCAAATTATAATTTTTAAATGGCTAATTCATAGTTTTAAATGAATAAGAATTATAAACAAATCTTTTAAAACTTGTTTGATCAGAAGTCAGTTTATTTTTAAGTTAAATATAGACTTGATAAAGTAAAAGTTATTTTTATTCTAAATACACAACTCATGGAATAAGAGAAATAGTTGAGCTTCATCCATAATCTTTGTTTCCAAATTTACCAACTTGATAAGGTCTATTTGTATCTCCAGTGTAAATACTTAGGGTAATTTGTCAATATTCAAGGGACTAAACAGATGAATGGAAAATTCTAGTCACTGATTTGTCTAGTTCCCTGCTGAGGTAAACCCCTCAGGTCAAGTGGATCGGGTTTGATCTCTGTCTTTGGTATCTGTTTCATGGGCCAAGACTCACATAAATCACTTTACATTTTTTCACCCCATTATTTTTTCATAAAATAATACATTCTAACAGAATGATTTGTTTTAGGACTGATGTTAATAATCTGTTCATACACACATCTATCTGTCTGGCTGTCTACTCATGTCCACACAAACATAATGCTTTTAGGATAAGGGATTCACTATTCAAACCAAGACCTTGTGACATTTTTACTGATCATAACCACTATGAATAAAGAGAATTTACATTTTCATCAATGATATATTTATAGGAACTTCTTGTGCAGTACATATGCAATGGAATTTTACTCAACCATTAAAAAGAATAATACTATGTCATTTGCAGGAAAATGGCTAGACAAAGAACTTATGTAAAGTGAAGTAAGCCAGGCTCATGTTTCACTCATGTATAGAGGCTAGATAAAATACAACTATGCATGCTAACATACAAGGGCTCAACGCATTTATACACAAACTGATAAAAGGTGGGTATATTTAGGGGAGGAATCCAAAGGCACAACTTTTCTGAACAACTATGGTATTGTTCATCAAAACAAATACTGGGAAGTGGAAACGTGGGGGATGATAAAAGTGGGAGAGGGCACCAGAATGGAAAGATGAGCAAATGTAGTTATTATATTCAATGTACATGATATAAAAAATGAACTATATAACTTGAGGGTAGAGATGGAAGGAAAAAAATGGGAAAGAATGAAGGAAGGCGTGAAATTGACCAAGAAGCAATGAACTCATAACCTGAATTGTAGAATTTTATCCCCTTACAATAATAAAAAAAATTCATGTGCATGAACCTACTAACACTTAAGCACATATTTCTCTAAGCATGTAAATAATATAAATTAAGCATTTCAAATAAATGAAAACTATTGTGTTATTCTACCTATCATCTATCTACTTCTCTTACTTTCTTTCTCTCTCTCTCTATATATATATATAAAACAAGTTTCCAGAAGCACTAATTCTTACAAGCTTTTCTCATATACTATGTGTACAAAATATTTAGGCATTTACCTATGCTTAATTATTCGTCCAGGATCAGTTAATTGTGACGGCAAATGGATAAGAGTTGTGGATTCTACCAGAGTTATTCTGAAATAGAAAAATAATTGGTGTCAATTATACTGCAACAAAATTTGGATATCCACAAAATATTGTTTTATATTTTCCTGGATCATTTATAAAATTATGAAATCATATTATAAAATGTTATTAAAATCAGAAAAAATACAATTTAAAACATTCATTTATCCTTGTTCTACAGCTCAAAGTATACATATTATAAAATGGGAAGACATTTAATATAAATATTTGAAATAATATTAAAACACAAATAAGATTTTCTTTTATATGAAAAGGCAACAACTAATTTTAATAGCAATGACATTCAAAACATCTACTGACTGCCCAAATTATAGTACTGAAATAAAAAGAAACCATGCAGTGTTACTAATACATAGCCAGAGCTTTATGCATAAAGTATAATTTCAAATTATACTTCCAGGAAACAGAAAACATATCTTTCACAGGTAGTATGAAATGTGGAAAGGTAATTAACCCAATAATTTCCTGGTAGAGATTTGGCTAGTAGTGGTTAAGCTCTTGTCTAGCATACACAAAGTCTTCAGTTCCATATTTAGCATTGCAAAAGTAAATATCTAGAAAATGAGCATATTATTAAATATGCTGTCTTCTGGAATCTCACAGTAGTACAGTTCTTCTTGTATGATAATGTACATTCATTCAAGAAAGATACATATTCCTTTGTGAGTTAATATGAGTGAAGGTATTAAATAAATGCAAACATGAATGTACAATCCCCCTTGAATTAGATTGCTTACTTTATCACTGATAAAGTAGAATAACCAAAAAAAATCCTGCTGTAATAGTAGATGAAAGATACCATTAAAATCATGGCTGTTATAACCCCTGTTTTCACTGTATTTGATGTTGGTATAATTTGGGGAGGAGAGGGAAAAAAACAAATTGCTTAGATAGGGATACAGGTGGACCCGTTGCAACAATGAGAGGTACAAAATGCTATGCTGAAAAATGAACTTTACAATTTGGGGGGAGAAGAGGGGAGAGTGTAGTCGTGGAGATAGGAGGGCAGGGATGGTAGGGGAAAAACAAAGGAGGAGGCAACAATGCTTGATAAAAAAAACTTTTTTTATCCCTCTGTACAGTATTTTCACAATAAAAAACTTATTAAAAATTTAAAAAAAATCATAGCTGTTAGTGTGGTGGCTCATGTCTGTAATCCTAGCTACTCAGGAGGCTGAGATCTGAGGAGCATAATTCAAGGACAGCCCAGGCAGGAAAGTTCATGCATCTCTTATCTCCAAGTAACCACCAAAAAAGCAGTGCCTCAAGTGGTAGAATGCCAGCTTTGAGGAAGAAGTTCAGGGACACCACACAGGCCCCAGAATTGCCACTATATACAGGATATATAGGATTATGTATTGAGGTTCAAAGAAGAATATGATAACTTCATTGGAGATATTATATTAAAAACTAAATAACTCATGTCATACTGGTTATAATTTTTAAAAATAATCTATATAATACATTAAATTTACTTGCCTTTATTATATTGTATAATCTATTTCAAACATAATTTGAATATTAATTCTCTTTGTTTATTTACAATTTTTGGTGCTATATTTATGTAAGGATAGATTCAAATCCCCTAAACTAGTCAGGTGTGGTGGTACATGTCTATAATTCTAGTACTTGGGAGTCTAAAGCAGAAGGATTGCAAGTTCCATACCATTGTGAACAAGACAAACAGTATTAGGCCAGCCTTGGCTTCATAGGGAGACCATACTTCAAAAACAAATCCCTCTGTTAGCCATTTTCCCACTGCCAAAAACATATACCTCTCCTAAGAATTAGCCTCTGAAATCAATGATCAAAACATATTAAAGTATTAGAATTTGGGGGGAAACAAATGTATAACATTTTTCCAAGTGCTACGATATTCAGATTTTCTTTCAACACTAGAAAGCAGAAGCATAGGACTAACTTTTTAAGGTTGTGCTTTTCTCTGAAAACTGCAGCCAGTCATTTGGTTTACTCAAAGATGCTTTTTAATAGTGGGTTAACACATGTGCTCCCATTTTATTGCTTATACTTCAAAATAACAAAATGGAACAAATTATAGACTACAGTATTCTTGCTTACATGTATGAGAAAATAAAAAAATTATAAATAGTTGTTTCAAGCATTTTCTTCTATTCTCAATAATTGATATTATCATAAACTACCAAAATCCTTCATAGTGATGAAAGACATTGAAAATGGTCAAATAGTAAATAAATCATAAATTATTAAATAATAGGCATATTATATCATATTGAGACTTCTAGTCTCAAAATAATTATAGTGTGTATCTGAGTCCTTAAACTGGAAAAATTAGAGTTCCTAATTTTTAAGCAGTATATGAGATATCTCCCTCCTCATCATGAAAAACTTCTAAGAAATTTTATAGTACCTTTGATTAAAAAATTATTTCCATCAACTTATCTGACTTTTCTGCTTGACTCACACATATACTAGTTATTGCAAATAAGGGAAACCATGGGACCTATGTTTCTTTGGGTCTGGCTTACTTCACTTAATATAATTTTTTCCAAGTCTTTCCATTTCCTAACAAATGGAGCAATGTCATTCTTCTGATAGAGGCATGAAATTCCATTGTGTATATATATCACATTTTCTTGATCCATTCATCTACTGAGGAGTATCTGGGTTGCTTCCGTATCTTAGCTATGGTAAATAATGCTACAATAAGCATAGTTGTGCTGGTAGCTTTAGTATGGTCTTGTTTGTGGTCATTTGAGTAAATGCCCAAAAGTGGGATTGCTGCGTCATAGGGGAGCTCTATATAGAGTCTTTTGATGTTAGGGGAATGAACCCCAAGATAAGTATCCAAAATTTTTTTGTTATTTTTTTCCTTTCATGAAATTCTTTCTAACATAGTTATAAGATGATTTCTATGTTGCTTTGTATGTCCCTCTCCCATGGTATAACCCATGCTTTCACTGTATTTAACGTTGGTATAATTTGTGGAGGGGAAGGGAAAAAACAAATCGTTTAACTAGGGATACAGGTGGACCCATTGCAACAATGAGATGTACAAGTCGTTATGTCGAAAAATGAACTTTACAACTTTGTTGGGGGCGGGGAGACCAGCTGGGGAGAAGGGGGAGTATGGGAAGGGATGGGAAGTGGAAACAAAGAGGAGGCAACAATGTTTGATAAGAAATGTATTCGTAATGTTGCCCATGTAATTGTAACTCCTCTGTACGATATTCTCACAATAAAAAAATAAAAATATATTATTTCCAATACATTACAAATGGTTTTGCTGCTGATTCTCAAGATGGACATATACACTAATAATGTGCAGTATAAATTAAATGCAGTGTTCTCTATAAAAAGGCATTTTCTGATTAATTCAATATTCCAGTTTCAAATATTAGAAAATAGTAAAATAGAAGAATTTATTAATTATAAACTTTTTTCATCAGATAACGTAATTTTATTTATTTTTTAATTTTTATTTTTTTATTGTGAAAATACTGTACAGAGGGGTTACAATTACATGGGCAAGATAATGAGTACATTTCTTATCAAACACTGTAGCCTCCTCCTTTGTTTCCCCTTCCCATCCCTTCCCATCCTCCTCCCGCCCCCCCAATCCTCCCCACCCCCCCACCAAAGTTCTAAAGTTCGTCATCGACATAATGACTTGTACTTCTCATTGTTGCAACGGGTCCACCTGTATCCCTATTTAAACGACTTGTTTTCCCCCTTCCCCTCCACAAATTATACCGACATCAAATACAGTGAAAGCAGGGGTTATACTGTGGGGGAGGGACATACAAAGCAACAAAGAAATAATCATATAAATGTGTTAGAAACAATCGTATAAAAGAAAAAGAACATTTGAATACATATCTTAGGGTTCATTTCCCTAACATCACCTTATCTGAC